AGGAGTCGATCACTGGAATTAATCCGCGGACGGAGTATAGGGGTGTACCTGCGATAGGACCGTCTGAGAGGACGTGACCACGTCGGCGAGAGAGAACGGTGTAGACCGAGGCCACCGCGTCGGCGGGTCCGGTCATTGTGCAGGAGTAAATTGGCTCCATGAGACGCGGAGAAGCCATTAAGAATGAAGAGTAGACGGCGCGACGGGCTGTTGGGATGATTTGACCTCCTCCTCGGTAGATTGCTTGCTCGGCGAGGGAGACATCTGTGAGTCGGAACTTGGTGTTGCGAATTGCTGGAAGTAAAGATGTTAGTATCTATAGTTCAATCAAAACCGCCAGCCCCCCCCCAAAAAAGATAAAGCAGAATAGAAGACTTACGTTCTTCACATAGTGGTCCTTCTCTGGTTCCCCAGCTAAAACCCTGAGTAATCGAGTCGCGGACAGATCCAAGAAGCTGCTTGTTCACTTGGGATGGTAAGGTATCATCTTGAAGGATGTTAGGACCCATCTCGTCGGGACCGAACGCCCAAATGCTGCGAGCAGCGAGCTTATCCCAGTCGTAATTATCTTCAAAAAAGCGAGCGACCTTCCGGATAGGGTCTTTGATGCTGACCCGACCGCTTTCAATGTCCTCGGCAATTCCCTCATCCAGAGGCTCGGCAATCATGGTGATCTTGTTCTTTTTATTCGGAGTGATCGAGTAGCACATGATCGCAGAGGTCTCAACGACAGTCTCACAGAAACGTGTCACCGGGTCGGAAACCTTGATTTCCATCTCTGAGTACAGTCGACGAAGATCGTGCAGCACACAGTCCATATAGAGCTCACCCGTACCTAGTACGATGTGCTCGCCAGACTCTTCGACCTTGGTTGAGATCAAAGGGTAGCTCTTGTTAATTTTGCGCAGACCGTCCAGCATCTTCGGCAGTTCGGAGGGGTTGACTGGTTCGACAGCGACCTTGAAGACCGACTCGGTCATGTGTTTGATAGGCTGGAAGATATATGGTTCTTCGTCTTCTTCGAGCTTGAGGGGTACCAGGGTAGCGGTTTTGACAATGGAGTTATCCACACCACCCAAGAGAACCCAGTTACCAGCAGGAACACCATCCGTGGAGATGTTGTAGCAAGTCTCTGCAATCCATGTGTCGGAAATAGTTGCGACGACCATGTCCTCCTCATCTTCGGGGGTATAGCCTTCTCCAAGGACACGAACTTGCTGACCCGGTCGGGCTGTACCACTCAGAATTCTTCCAAAAGAGTGGAACCCAGTAGCATCAGTGGTGCTGAAAAGCTTGGTGACATGAACCACAAGGGGTCCATCTTGGTCACAAGCTGCCATTGAGCTTGCAATCTTTGAATCCAACGGACCGGTATAATAGCGCTCCAGCATTCGCTGAGCGCCCTCGATCGGTGAAGGGATGTGTTGCACTGCCATGTCGACGAAACCGCTGGGAGGACCGAAGAACTGCTCACAGACCAGGTTAAGCAGCTCCTTCGCATCCGACTTCAACTGAGACGGCTTCAGGTGGACGCCCACCGAAGCTAATGTCTCCTTCAGGTCCTCGGGACTCTCGCTAAGGGTGTGAGAATACAGCTTGTAAATAGGTTCCAAGACGAATTTCACAAAAGCCCGCTTGGAGTTCTCCTCCACACCCTTGCGAGTGAACTTCCGGCTCCGGGGGTTGTAGAAGATATCTCCCCATAGTCGCGCGGCGAATTCTGTGGAGTCAAGTCGTGGATAGGTGTCTGCATACATCCTGGCGAAGGACTGCAATGTGAAACACCAGTTCATCGAACTAGATGCGAACGCAACATTTCCCTTCTCGGGGCTCAATCGTCGACGTTCACCTTGTCCTGGCAAGACACTTTCAATGACTGTGTTAATTTCTTCAATCACATGCTTCAGTTTGAAGTAGGCATCATTGGGCGGAAGCTTGAGTTCCAAGATCAGGCGATCCATTTTGTTCACAACCAAGGTCATAGGAATATCTTCCAGTACGGCATGTTTGATGATCTGCTCGGTATTCGCCTGAACACCCTCAACAACATCAACAACGATGACTACACCATCTGCCAAACGAACTGATGCGGCAACTTCATCCACAAAGTTCACATGTCCGGGGGTATCGATGATGTTGAGAAGATGGGATTTCCCCTTAGTGCCCTGGAGAACCAAGCTCATCGGGGCTGACTTGACCGAAAGACCGCGCTCGCGTTCCAAAAAGTGAACATCGGTGTATCGCAGCTGCTCCTCCTTGCGCTTACCGATGCGCTTCGCGAGACGTTCCGTCAAGTCGTGTGTCTGTCTGACCAGCATATCCATAAATGCAGTCTTTCCATGGTGCAAATGGCCCACAACAGCCACATTTCTTATTTGATCGGGGAAGTTGAGCAGGTCTGACATGAATTCGCGAGAGAAATAAACGGGAGGGAGCTCTGTTTCGGCGATCGCAAATTTCTTCTGTTGGACGGGGGCGATGATGGGTTCGGATAGAGGTTGCGCATCTTCCTCTTGGACCATGGTCTCGACATCGGTACCGTATAGCTGCTGTGCGCTAGGATAATATTGCTTGTCTTCATGCAAAATGACGGCGTTTGAAGGTCCATCTGCCCCGAGACGCGGGTTAGCGAACAGGAGGAGGGAACGGAATCGGAATCGACGCGCAGCGCGCAGAGCAACATAGCTTACCATCGACCTCCATTAACTGCTGATTGTTCACATCTTCTTCTTCCTCGTCGTCATCGAATGCTTCATCGAACTTAAAGGCCTCGGGGACCTGTTCATTCTGCTCCTCATCGGAGTCGGCCTCGCCGATGTAGTTACCAAATCTAGGCCCCTGGTTAGAACGCGCTTTTGAATAAAGGGGAATAGAAATTGAAATCGCAATTGGAAAGGCAAAATAACATACTCATCATAAAGGTCCTCCATAATGGGCAGAAGTGGGCGCAAAGTAAAGATGATCCGCAGCCCCAATTCGGTGCTGGCGTGACGCCGGAAGGTTGAAGTGGAAGATTCTCAACTTTCACTTGGTCCGAGCGTCTCAAGTACTCGGGCCTACACCGTACAGCTCCTCACTCCCTCCTCCCCCCCCACTATATTAGTACACTACCCCTCGGTGGAATCCTTTTTCTTCCAATTCTCCTTTTTTCTACTTTATCAATTGATCTGATTACTTTTGCATCGCACTTCCAAAATGTCTTCTCTTCCTCCCGTCTACATTGTTTCCACCGCCCGTACCCCCGTGGGCGGTTTCCTTGGGTAAATATACCTATACACCCTCCTCAGATTTGGTTACTTGCTGTCCCGATAAACTAACAATGAACTCAGCTCTCTTTCCACCCTTGCTGCCCCCAAGCTCGGTGCCCATGCTATCAAGTGTATGTTCAATCCATTATGATCATCATCGAAATATGTTGAAGACATTACTGACAGAACTATAGCCGCTGTCGAGCGTGCTGAGGGCATTAACCCCGCCGATGTTGAGGAGGTCTTCTTCGGCAACGTTCTGTCTGCTGGGTACGTTGTGGATCAAACAAACATATTGTTGCTCTCATTTGAAAATTTGAATATCACTAACAGCTTCTTTCTGAACAGTGTCGGACAAAACCCTGCCCGCCAATGTGCTATCGGTGCCGGCCTCGCGGATTCCACCGTCTGCACCACCGTCAACAAGGTCTGCGCCTCCGGCTTGAAGGCCGTCATCCTCGGTGCCCAGACCATCATGACCGGAAACGCCGACATTGTCGTCGCCGGTGGCACCGAGTCTATGTCCAACACCCCTCACTACCTGCCCAACATGCGCACTGGCGCCAAGTACGGCAACCAGAGCCTGGTCGACGGTATCCAGAAGGACGGTCTGCAGGACGCCTACGGCAAGCAGGAGCTCATGGGCTTCGCTGCCGAGGAGTGCGCCGAGGACCACGGCTTCAACCGCGAGCAGCAGGATGACTACGCCATCCGCAGCTACCAGAAGGCCCAGGCCGCTCAGAAGGCCGGTGTCTTCGACTTCGAGATCGCCCCCATCGAGATCCCTGGTTTCCGCGGCAAGCCCGGCGTCACCGTTTCCCAGGACGACGAGCCCAAGAACCTGAACCCCGAGAAGCTGCGCGCCATGAAGCCTGCTTTCATCCCCGGCACCGGAACTGTCACTGCCCCCAACGCCTCCCCGCTCAACGACGGTGCCGCCGCCCACGTCCTCGTCTCCGAGGCCAAGGTCAAGGAGCTTGGTCTCAAGCCCATTGCCAAGATCCTCGGCTGGGGTGATGCCGCTCACGCGCCTAACAAGTTCACTACCGCCCCTGCCCTGGCTATCCCCAAGGCTCTCAAGCACGCTGGCGTGACTCAGGAGTCCATCGATGCCTTCGAGATCAACGAGGCTTTCAGCGTTGTCTCCCTTGCCAACATGAAGCTGCTCGGCATCTCTGAGGACAAGGTTAACATCCACGGTGGTGCTGTTGCCATCGGTCACCCTCTCGGTGCTTCCGGTGCCCGTATCCTGTCTACCCTGATCGGTGTCCTCAAGGCTAAGCAGGGTAAGCTCGGCTGCGTTGGCATCTGCAACGGTGGCGGTGGTGCTAGCGCCCTCGTCCTCGAGCTCCTCTAAATGGATATTAATGATGTATGGATACGAACTGATTTTTCAACACTGCGTGTGAGATACCACTACATGAATAGCTGGTAGTAGATACCTGGGTTCATTCACGAACCAAATAAAATTTCGAAATACAGAACTTTAATTTTTATGACCATTCACACTAAATCAAGTAATGTACAGCCAGTACTATATCATACTCATGTAGTGGTATTGATAGAAGTAAATAATTAACAACTATCGTTGGCTCTGACATGCAGAATTATAGAAAACTCGAAATTTAATATCAAAATTTGATGCAAGGTAAAATAATAGTCCATTGTTCTAAAGGTAAAAAGTAACAGTAACAAGACATAAGCTGGCGTAAAATAATGCTACATTTTCGTCATCCCCAAGGGTTCAAGTTCTCAGGCAAAAGCCCCAACAAGTGCCATCAAAATAGCACCACAGGCAACAGAGACACAAGCCTCGACTCGCCGCCTACCCTGAAGACTCTCATAACTCGACTCGCTGAGAAAATCTTCAGCAAGAAGCTCAACAAGACCCGCGAACAGAAGAAGCCCGCTACTAATAGCGTTGGTGATGCCCACCATCAGCAGACCCGTCGCACTCGCGGGATCATAAAAGTTATGCAAAATCAGCCCAAGAGCCTGGCCAAGAGGGGTAGTAGTTCCATAAGCAAGGGACATGAGCCAAGGCTTCATGGAAGAGGGGCCAAAAAGGTCCGGGATTAGCGACGCAATACGCGAGCCCAGCGCGAAGCCTTCAAAGGTCTGATGGAAACTGATAGCGACGAGGAGGACAATAAATGACGTCCCCGTTGCAACGCTAAGCGCCATGCCGATGAAAATGCTGTGGAACAAAATGCCCGCTTCCAAAAGGAGACATTGCAAAAGTTGCCGTTGAGGGTTGACCATTGGCATGTCGGAGTGCTCGCTCAATCGCGGCCGGTGGCGGCGAGCAGCAGCAGAGTGGGCTGAGGAACGGGAACGGGGTTGTCCATTGATAGGGACGGTGTCATCGTCTGCATATACGTCCAGCCCTTCGATATCCGCATCTTCGTCTTCTTCTTTATCCGGCTGGGAGCCGAGAGTGTGTGGGTGTTCAGGGCCAGATCCGCGCTTGTGCGAGGCACCTATAGGCTCGGTGGAGTCCAACGGGTTATTTTGTTGCAGGCCTTCCATGCGGATATTTCCCGATGCTTCGCGGTCATGGTCGTGTAAAAAGTCCTGCGTCCCGAGTCGGAAGTCGTCGAGTGATTCACGGCCAATATCACCCATTAACGTATCATAGTCATTTCCATGAACATGGCCCGCTCCCTTCATCGCGAAGAACATCTCTACCAGCACGACGGCAAATACGGACATCATCGCGACGAATCCGGCCATGGCTCGGTAGGAGTGGCTCCAAAATTTGGGAAGACATGGATCTGTCAATGACATGAAGGCTGTAGGAAGTAGGTGTACGAATGCCGTAGCGATCAACACGCCTGTCCCGAAGTGTCTGGATATGAAAAGGAATCGGCGTGGAATCGGCAAACCGGGGAAGCGGCGAGCAAGAACTGGGAAAGAGCATGCTAATGTAGAAAATAAATGTTAACCATTTGACGATCTTGCCGAAAGCAGGGCATCTTGAAGTTGAAAAGGAGGTGGTACGTACCGAATGTACTCAAGACGAGAATGAGGAAGAGTGCCATAACATGCAGAGGCGTGTTATACGCACCCCGCTGCCCAGAGCCGCAGGTCGATCCATCATCGGTATCCGAGGCTCGTACAAAGTTCCCATTTCGTCGTTTAAGCTCAGCTTGTAGGAGAGATTCGGGAATTTGAGAGAGGGTGTCGAGGGCGAAATCTGGTCGATAGTCAGAAGCAAGTCCTCACTCGGTATATGTGGTAGGGTTCAAGTTGGTGATAGGATTGAATAACTGACCTAGCGATTTCCCGCCTGCCCCCAATACCTGCGCATTCTGCATCTTTGATCGGAGTATGTACTCGATGCTGCTGGGCCCGAGCTACACCCGCAAGCTCGGAAGATCAATTCGGTTTCGGGGGCGGAGAGGAGAGTTCCGCCGGCTGCCAAGATCAGGGACACGCAATCAGACTCGCGCTATAATATCTTGTAATGTGCTAGCACCTTATAGGTGATTCCGATCCCGATCTCGGGCGCATCGTTGTAGCAAAGCAGAGCGGAGGGTTTCGGGCCACCTGGCGCGCGTGTTATCCATCTTATCTCGGCAGCTTACTAACCACAGATCCCGGGGAGGCAGTCCTGGATGATAGTCGACTCACAGTTGTTGGACTAGAGTTTCCAAAGATGAGATTGTATTTAATATCTAATAGCAAGTATGATATGGTATGTACGTTCTTGTAGTTGATACGCATGTCTCTATCGATTGTTGAGCTTCATCCAGCCGCTATTGCCTTTTGAGCGACGGCTGTCATCGGCGCCCTGGTTGGATGGTTCATTGTTTGCACCCTCATTTGATTGAATAGGGGCCGAAGGGGAACTCGAAATGTTGGAATTCTGTATGAAAGGCGATTGATCGGGTTCTGTAGGCCCATCGTCCCATTCATTTTCTTCTAGCAGTTCCCATTCCGCACTGGCCATTTCTCCAAGTAGATTGGCCTTAAGTTTATCCACGATCTTCGTGGGCGTTGGTAATTTCCAGGTACGCATATACTCGGATCCTTCGGATGCAGCTAGAAAGGAGTGCACTGTGCCGTGTGAGTAATGCCCAAGCATGGGAAATGATTTCCTGCGTTGGATAGTCGTTTGTGGGGAGTCCTTGGTGGACTTGATCTTAGTCTGTGTATCGCGACTTGCAAAAGCTCTCATCAAAGAAGACGGCTGGGCTGGTGGAGCAACTAGTAGCTGGTACATGCTCTTGCCCATGTCGCAAACTTCTTCCCAAGAGTCGGACGTCAGGTTGATGCCTTGAGTTCGGCACAACCACGCCACATCCCAGGCTAACAGTGTCGCTCCCTCAATAAAGAGCGCATATGTGCCAGGGTCTTCTTTTGCTAGCCGTTGGAGAGACTTGTCGATGAAGAGTGGCCGCGGGCGAGACTGGGTACGTGCATCTCCCGTTCTCGAGGCGGCTTGACTCGACGGCGATGAATGGGCAGTATTTTTCCCAGTCATTCCCCGCAAATCATATGAGGAGGCAGGAGGGTATATGGTCGGGGTCGGATAGTCTCGGTGAGGCAGAGTTATCTCGGCTGGTAGCCTGAGAGAAAGGTAGTGTGAGACCAGGACAAGGAGCTGAGCAACGTTCGAGAAGGATGTAGAAATTTGAGCCGGTGTGGCGCCTTGAAAGATGTCAGTATGATTTGCGTCCACAGTCCTTGCGCCCATAAAGTAAGACTTGCCATTCATGTCCCTTAAATCCACTATAGACATGCCTCCTAGCACGTATAATTGACGAGGGTCGCCTTTTCTCGCCGTTTTCTGTCGTAAGCCATAGAGATGCGCAGCTTCTCGACAAAGGAAGATCCGCGCCTCTGCCGTCTTACTATGCAAAGAATGCCAAAGATGCTCAGCTCTTTTGATTGCATTCTCTATGCCCGTCAGAGTCGCCGTTTCCCGCTCCGCAAGCTGGTACTGGGCAGATTCAGCATCGGCGCGTCTCCGAGAGAGACTTGCTCTTAGTTCCGCCAGGCCAGCGTTTTTAATATTTATCTCCTCTTTTAAGACCTTAATATTTCGGGACAGGTCATCCCTCCTTGATATCGAGGCGGTTTGTTCGCTGGAGATCGTTTCGAGAGACCAAGTACTCGTACTCGTACTTTGACGGTTCAATCTCGAAGACTGCTCTCCAGACCCGGGGTGTTGCTTGTCCGGAGTTCCATCGGCAACAGCTCTTTCAATCTGTTTTGATAGGATTTCCTTCGCTAGAAGAGCTCGGGTGATTTCCAAGCGCAGAGGGTAGAGGCGATTGCGGGCGCATGTCGGACAGAAGCATGGGAGGCGGGAGTGGGCAGAGTCGCATATATGACAGCTCATCGCAGATGGTTGATAGCTCTCAACAGAAGTTCAGAGGCGGCATTTCCACGGTATGTCGAAGGAGCTGCCAGAGCCGCCGCCGAGAATCATGAGGATGAGGGGTGAAGAGAAAGAGTAGGCAGCGGTGTCGGAGAGGGCGCGTTGTGATGTCGTCACCTGACGCCCTGGGCGCGGACCCAGCCATGTTTATCTCATCGCCCTTTCAACGGTTGTGTACAACCAGTGGAAGATCACGATATGCATCGATTGTCCACCAACTCATTTGAATAGTGGTCACTGATACACTGATTGAATTTTGAACTTTCGGAATACCTTTCCAAAGAGTCAGGATGGACTCGACGGCCGATGCCCAATCTAATATGACATCTCAATCCATGGGCCACAGCCCACAGCCAATCAATCCTGCTGCAGTGGAAGAATTTCCCATTGTCGCTCGTCTCACCCAGGGACTCGCTGAATGTGACTGGGAGCAACTGCAAGAAAAATACACGGATGCCATGGATGAGCACAGCCGAGTGGAAGAGGAGCTTCGTGCCGAGACTGCGAGGTTGCTAGAGGTACTTGTTCACCCCTGCGTGTGAATGTAAGAGTAGGTATGTAAATACTGAACATGATATAGGTTTTCACAACTTGGTCCCAAACGACTATTTTACAAGACGAGGGACGGGCTTTAAAACGGTATGCAATCCCCCCCCCCCACTCCCCTCCAGGAAACTGCCTCCAAAGGCCATGGGCCATAAAAACCATAGCTAAAAATTTCACAGATTCAAGACACAAATGCAGCATGTACAAAACTCTGAAGTGAGCGTGGAGAACAAGAAAAAGCACTGTAAGTGAGCCGAAGATGCTTCAGTTTTCTCGAGATCAGAGCTGACTTTTATATGCAGACAATGATGTTGTCAAGGCTTTTCAAAGTGCCTTGGCCCTGCTTAACGAGCAGATGAAGGTTTAATTATGATTATCCTAAACTACGATCTTTTGGCTCTGTCTCCGCAGGCGGATGCCGAGCCATCCTACCAGTTCTTATGCGACTGTGATCAATTTCATGAGACGCAAATTCCCATGCATTCCTTAAATTTGTTTAATCAATTTCTGTGAACGTTAAAAACATCGTATACATCACAGAGTTAAGACGTTATATGACGAAAATCTTCAGTCAGAAGTCAAGAGAAATCAAGATCCGATTTCAAAGTGCAGCTATCAGCCAGCGGATCGTCCAGCGCGGGCACTTCTTCCAGTAATATCCTGCCAGTTAGCGTTGATTCTTCGTCCTGTATTCGCGAGGAGACCCTCTTCTTCAGCCTCCTCGGCATCTTCGTCGAGCTGCCTCTCGTCCAATTTTGGTGATCGGAACAGAGTAGTAATGAAGACGATTAGATAGACACCTGGAGACAAGGGGTATTAGTTTAAGAAGGAAACAGTTTCAGGGGAGGGAGCATGGGCTAGGAATACTCACCGAGGAAACAGAACTGTGCCCAGAAAAATACCACACCAAAGAAAGGGAAATTGAGAGTAATGCGGTTTAGGAACGTGCTGACCACACTAGGAGTGCACACCCGCTGTGCGGCAGGGTTCTCCGCCAGTTCAGAGCATGGTTTGATGAGCTCCTTGCTGTTGGAGCAATCTGGCTGCCCGAAAGGCAACACCGATTCCCTGTCGCAGAACGTCTGTGGGCCAAAAGTTGCATACTGTGGAGCGACCACCATAGAAATGGAGTAATTCAGCGCCAGCGTAATCAGCATCAACATGGAAGTTGCCATGAGCAGAGCCTGTGGTGATGTATGGCCCTTTCGAATTTGGAAGATTCTGATCCAAAGGAATCGAATACCGACCACGGCAATTCCAGCGACAGAGCTGCAGAAAAGTAGTAACACCAACATCGTGAAAATGGCGTAATCGACTGGGAAGACCTTGGCGGAATGAACCAGAGCCCAGTTGACGGGATTGAATATGTTTACATGCCCGAGAATATACCCACAGCGGTGCTTGCAGATCGAGTTCTTTGCTTTATCGATGGCCGTGAGAAGCATTGAGACCCAGACTAAGAGCGCTACCAAGAGCAGAATAATGCCTCCAAGCAACTTGAATGGACGGAAGACGGCCTCGATCTTGAACCACAGCCGTATGAGCCAGCTTCGTCCTTCGCCTTGAGCCTCTTCGACTAGGCGTTGACGTCGAATTAGAGTCCTTTCTTCTCGTATAAGAGTGTCAAGTTCCCGACGGTCCTTGGAGGATAAAAGTTCCGGGTTTCCTCCACAGCGACCCTCCAGCTGCCGCTGCCGTTCTTGATTTGTCTCGAGTTGCTGTGCAGTATTCGCACGCAGCGTGGGGTTGGATATCGAGGGAGCCGACTTGATTAAGCCAATCGGGAGCAGTGCGAGCCCCGATGAAGTGTAAAGAACATAAAGACAGAGGCCAAGAGTCATAAGCAGACCAAGGGCAAATGTCAATGCACGCTCACCATCTGCAGCAAAGTTAGTCTCATTTTCAATTTTGTAGATTGTGATCAAGACCCACGGTTCTCAGTAAGCAGCTTTTTGAAATAATCGAAGTCGAAATCGCTCTTATTACCGGAAATAGGCGCAAAAAATCCCACGAGGAAAAGAATGACCACGATTGCAATGAACGAAAAGGTGTACTTGAAAGCGCCCCAGAAGCGCTGCCCCATTGTCTGCTCTCCATTTTCACTGGCCACTTCATCGTATTCTTCATACCAGAAGTAGACAAAGGGAATAACCAGGAGACAGAGGAGCGCGTCCAGGGAGTAAAGGATGTAATAAATGATAGTCAGAGAATAGGTGATGCGGTCGACTACCTCTTGGGTTGCCCATTCTTTCCGCTGACCTAGTCTGGATGAAGTAGTTGACGATACCAGTGCGACATCCACCGGAAGCAGAAGCACAGTAGCAAGCAGACTGGTGATTGCGATGATGCAGGTCAAAGTTACAGATGGCGAACGATCTCGAGGAGTTTGATAAACATAAATGAAAACCGAAGCTGCCGCTAGCAAGACAGCTATCACGGCTCCGTAGACGATCCAGATAAGAGATGTCTGAAGAAGCGCCATGTTGAAGTGAAGTTATTCCGCATGAGAAGCAGAAAATTTCACTGGAGTGAGACGAGATCGCGATCACCGGGGTTTAGTGAAACAAGCTTAGCATTCAAGTCCAAGTTCAAGTTCAAGTTGCATTCCAAAGGCTGCGAAGTACACACTCGCGTCTGTCGTCATACGCTAACCCGATCTGGTGGGTACGGGATAACGTGACTTTGTTTGCTTCAGATCACGTGCCATCTCTTTCGACCCGCCCTGCGACAAGCAATCCGAGAGATATCCAAGTGTCGTGAATCTGCATTTCCAAAGTTCACTTCACTTCCGACGGGCAAGGAAAAGCTTTGAACCTGGTGAGCATTAAAGCTGCAATGCTCATCGTCAATATTGAGCGCTGCAAATAAATTGTTGGAACCACATCTCCTGAAAGACAAAGATCATTTCCAATGCAGTGCTATACGGAGCTGCTACCCCCAATGGGGGTCACTCATGCATTGGCAGTGCCCTTCACCTCCGCTACAGCACAAAATTTGATCGTGGTGCGATCTTCCCTGTTGCAGGTGTTCTCCCTCATCAAAGCTTCCGCTCAAACACAAGGCGAAGTCTCAGAGACCCACTCGTCAACATCTCACCCGTCAGGAACGAAGCTACTCCTGGAAAAGGAATATCAATTGCCTGGAACAGTCACAGATTTGAGCCGAGTCAAAACTTTGAACACGAAAAGTGGTGGAGAGGCCATTCTTCTGGCGATCCGCAACGCGAAGCTCTCCTTGATTGAATGGAATCCCGAACGCCATGGAATCTCTACCGTCTCCATTCACTACTACGAGCGAGATGATCTGACGAGAAGTCCTTGGGTACCTGATTTGAGCCGATGCAAGAGCATTCTCAGCGTGGACCCGAGTAGTCGTTGCGCGGTGTTCAACTTTGGAATCCGCAACCTTGCGATTTTACCCTTTCACCAAGCAGGGGATGATCTGGTGATGGATGACTATGATTCGGACATTGATGGAGAACGCCAAGCCATTGGGAAGAGTAACGACGGATCAGCATATCAAACCCCTTATGCGGCCTCATTTGTCCTGTCCTTGACAGCTTTCGACCCTTCTTTATTGCACCCAGTCAGCCTTGAATTCCTCTACGAATACAGGGAGCCGACCTTTGGAATTTTGTACTCTCAAGTTGCAACTTCAAATGCCCTGATTCAAGAGAGGAAAGATATCATGTTCTATACTGTGTTCACTCTGGATCTGGAGCAACGGGCTTCGACGACCCTCTTATCTGTGTCTAAGCTACCCAGTGACCTTTTCAAGGTTGTGGCTCTTCCACTTCCCGTGGGAGGTGCATTGCTCATTGGTTCCAATGAGATTGTGCATGTGGACCAAGCCGGTAAAACCAACGCAGTGGGTGTGAACGAATTTGCTCGTGTAATCTCATCATTTTCTATGAGCGATCAATCTGATCTGGCTTTCCGCCTAGAAGGCTGTGTTGTGGAGCGCCTCGGAGGTGACAGTGGGGATCTCGTTCTCGCACTTGCATCGGGGGATATGGCCTTGGTCCGATTCAAGCTTGATGGTCGATCCGTTTCGGGAATGTCTGTGCATCGCTTGCCAACACCTTCGGATGGAAATCTTTTGAAGTCAGCCGCTTCCTGTTCTGCGTGTTTCGGCGACGGCAATGTCTTCATTGGCAGCGAAGATGCAGATTCGGTTCTTCTTGGGTGGTCTCATTCGACTGCTTCCCTTAAGAAGGCAAGATTAGAATCGAGACAAGGAGCTGATGGTTTCGATGATCTCTCCGACGACGATGAGATCGATGATGACGATCTTTACTCCTCTGTACCGGAGCCCACCCGAACCGGTCAAGGCACAAGCTCGGATCATGAATACTATCATCTCCATTTGAATGACCGACTTTCTAATATTGGGCCTTTACGAGATGTGACACTGGGAAAACCCTTCACTTCTAAGAAACAGGACCAGGACCAGTCATACGACAAGGGAGTCTCGGCTGATTTGGAGTTGGTCGCATCACAAGGTTCCGACGGAGCCGGCGGCTTGGTCGTCATGAAGCGTGAGATTGACCCTGTCGTTACAACTTCCGAGAGGATCGATGGAGCCGATGCCGTATGGTCTGCTACCATTCTCACCAAGGAGGAAGCTGCCAATCAGTATGTCATAGTTTCGCGCCTGACAGAAACCAATGAAGTGTCCGAGGTCTTGAAAGTCGAGAATTCAGCCTTACAACCTTACAAGGCTCCTGATTTCAACCCCAACGGAGATCACACCATTGATATTGGACCTTTGGCAGGATCATCCCGTCTCGTCCAAGTCCTCCAGAACGAAGTTCGAAGTTATGACTTTGGTAAGTTTTAACCTTAGTCTTTCAAATGCCTATGCAGCCTGGAATGGAATGCTTACAAGAAAAACTTGTCCAGAATTGGGCTTAGCACAGATCTATCCGATCTGGGACGAAGATACCGATGAAGAACGAATCGCCATTAGCGCGAGCTTAATGGATCCTTTCATTGCCATACTTCGGGACGACGCTTCTCTTTTGCTACTTCAAGCAGATGAAAGTGGAGATTTAGATGAAGTTGCGCTGTCGGATGACATTTCGAATCTGAAATGCCGTTCGATTTGTCTCTATAAGGACAAGTACCACACATTTACTTCGGCCTCGAATTCGGTGGATGGTGGTGACACGCTTCTGTTTGTCTTGACTTCAGACCACAAAATTCTGGTAAACGATTGCTGCAAACGCTATACTGTTCGAGCTCGACCCTCAGGCTAACACCGAATCTTCAGATCATCCATCTTCCTGACATGAAGCAACTGTTTTTAATCGATGGTATTGACTGCCTACAACCGATCTTGTCAGCCGAGCCACCCCGGCGAGCCAATACAAAAGAAGCCATTAACGAAATACTTATTGCCGACCTCGGTGATCGTTGGAGTGCTTCACCCTACCTAATTGTATGAAGAACATGTTACATTATCTTGGCATTCGACAAGTTCTAACCTGAAAAATAGGCTCGAACCGAGAACGACGAAACCGTCGTCTACAAGCCCGCCACAATTTCCACAGCAACAGAGGATCAGGAGCATCCGGTAGAAGAGCTCCGATTCTTCCGAGAAGCTCATCACAGCCTCTCCAACATAACTTCCAAAACCCCATCGGAAGAAATGCAAAGCCGCGCACGGCCACTACGCAAATTCAACGACATATCAGGGCTCAGCGGAGTGTTCTTACCCGGCGTCTCTGCAGGCTTTATCCTCCGAACATCAACAAGTTCACCACATCTGATCCGTCTCCGTGGAGATTTCACGAAATGGCTAGACGGCTTCAACTGTGGCGAACTTGGCTGCGAGAAAGGCTTCATCTACGCCGATTCAGAGAATGTCATCCGAGCATGCCAATTAGCGCCCGATACTCAATTCGACCATTCGTGGACGACGCGCAAAGTCCCACTCGATGAACAAGTGGACTTCTTGGCCTATTCCACCGCTTCGGAAACCTACGTAGTGGCCACCAGCGTCGACGTCGACTTTCAGCTCCCGTTCCCCGAGAAGAACGAGAAGAACGAAGATCAACCCCCAGAATGGAGGACCAGAGACTCATCATTCTTACCCAAGGTGCCCCAGTCCTCGATCAAAGTCGTAAGTCCCAAGTCCTGGTCCGTCATCGACAGTTTTCCGCTCGAGGAGGCGGAACACGTCACAGCCGTGAAAAACATCAACATCGAGGTCTCGGAGAACACGCACGAGCGCAGAGATCTCATCGTTGTCGGAACGGCCATGACCAAGGGCGAAGATCTCCCCGGCCGGGGATGCATCTATGTATTTGACGTGATTGAAGTCGTTCCCGAACCAGACCGGCCCGAAACAGGCCGCAAGTTGAAGCTCATCGGCAAGGAAATCGTCAAGGGGGCCGTGACTGCACTGTCGGGCATTGGCGGCCAGGGATTCCTGATCGTGGCCCAGGGCCAAAAGGCCATGGTTCGAGGTCTGAAAGAAGACGGTAGTCTGCTTCCTGTGGCTTTTATGGACATGCAGTGCTATGTCAGTGTTACGAAGGAACTCAAGGGCACGGGCATGGTTTTACTCGGGGACGCGATGAAGGGTCTTTGGTTTGCGGGTTACTCGGTACGTTCCTCCTCGCACTTCCTAACGTCCCCGATACACGAGAACACGAACCGAACTAACCCATCTACAGGAGGATCCATACAAAATGACTCTCTTCGGCAAAGACCCGGAATACCTCGAGGTCGTCACCGCTGATTTCCTGCCGGACGGGAGTAAACTCTACCTCTTGGTCGCCGACAGTGACTGCAACCTGCATGTACTGCAGTACGACCCTGAAGGTAAACCATTATGCCGTTATGCCATGCGCTGTATAGAATTCCGCTAATATCCCGTCCTAGATCCCAAATCCTCAAACGGTGACCGCCTCCTAAACAGAAGCAAATTCCACACGGGAAATTTCGCCTCGACAGTCACCCTCCTCCCCCGCACGCCCGTATCCTCCGAGCTAATGAAAGCATCCTCGTCCAACTTGGACACTCACATGGATATCGATGAAGACCACCCAACGCGCCAAATCCTCATTACGTCCCAAAACGGCTCCTTGGCACTCGTCACGTCCGTCTCAGAAGACTCCTACCGGCGTCTAGCGGCGCTGCAATCGCAGCTCGTCAATACGATCGAGCACGCGGGCGGCTTGAATCCGCGGGCCTTCCGCGCCGTCGAGAGTGATGGGGCTGGGGGGCGGGGCATGATTGATGGGACTTTGCTGCGGCAGTGGTTGAGTCTGGGGAGGCAGCGGCAGGCGGAGATTGCGGGGCGGGTTGGCGCGGCGGAGTGGGAGATTAGGGCTGATTTGGAGGTTGTGGGCGGGGATGGATTGGGGTATTTGTGATATGTGAAAGTGACATGGCATGAACTGAATAAGAATGCAGATATTTGTACTGTTACCCTGATACAATTCAAATCAAACACCCCCCCCCCCAGACACATGCATACATCATAAAGAAAGAAATAGCATGATGGGAAAATAATTTGGTCTCTTTTTTAAATATTTTGCTTCTCTTGAAAAGTATTGATCGAGATCTGCGTCTGCCTCTGCCAGAGAAAGTAGAGTGGCAAGGAGCGCCGATTTCTCAATATCGGCCAGATCAAGAACGCAAGTAAATAGATGGCAGCATAGCATCATAACACGAGGTGGGATATAACCCAAACCCGAACCGAGCATAGAATCAAATCCGTAGAGTGATATCAAATCAAGATCAAATCCAATAGCCAATGAAAGATCAAAAGCTGGAAGGAGAAAGAAAACTCCAAAACACCGCCTGGATCGCCGATTTTGCAACCGGGTGATAATTCCGGAAAAAAACACCCCAAACCAAATAAAGTAATGAGCAAAAAAAAAAAGACACAGATCACACCGTGATCCGATCCCCAGAGACGAGGCGAAACAAAAACATGAGCCATCGAAAAGAAAGGCTCGACTCGACACGACTCAACCCTAGCATATTATCAGAGAAAGGGAAAGATTCGTCTTTCCCGAACAGCTAGAACAGGAAATTGACGAACATCTAATAACGAGAAAGCTCAAAGGCCAAATAACCCCTCCAGATAGATTCCAGTGTAAATGCAGATGCAAATCCCAAACAAATCCCAAAGCCCACAAAAAAAGACTCCGAAAAGAAACGCCACTTTAGCGCCGGTTGACCAAATCCAACCCAATGGTATACCTTAAATTCATTCAAAACACGTCCTCAGCGGCAAAATACCTCTTACTGCGGCCCCGGGACGCAACGAACTTCATCTCAGGCATGTTGGTGTGATGAACGACGTGGGGTCTGTAAACGGCGTCCACGGGGGCTTGCCAGTCATCCAGTCCGAGAGGGAAGTATTCGTACAGAAAGTCAGTGCTTTCATTAGGGAATGGCAGGGAGGACACAAATTGCTGGGGGAGGTTGGCCGTCTCGATTAGGGGTATGGATGAGGAGGCGCTTCGGGACGGGGTCTGGGACTGTTGGGAGATGCCGTGGGAAAGCTTGCGCATCTTTGAAGGTGGTGCGGCGGATTGGTCGAGGCTGATGGATCTTTGTTGGGGGATTTCCGGAACATTGGCATAAGAGCTCATCATCTTTTGATCTAGTTGCAGGCTTCCGACGTCGCCTCGGTCTTCATCGTCCAAGAGGGATAGATTGATTGGCGCTGCTGAGCCGGCCGTTGTGCCGCTGATGCGTCTTTGGGGGTCGGCGGCGTGTGAGAGTTGTTGCTCTGGACTGGAGTGGGGGAAGAGGGATTGGTGGGCGTGGGACATCATGGCGTTGTTGGATTGCGGGATCGGCGTCCAGTCGGTGGGTTGTTGCATCATCGTCGGGGGTGGTACGGAGGTTGTCTCGGGAGAGCTACTTTGCACGGTCGTTGAGGGGGCCTTCGCCTTGGCTGGAGTCACGCTGGCGCGGCGGGTTACTGAGTCACTGGTCGGCGTGCGGTTGAGCGCAGCGGCCGAGTTGGCCTGGTTCTTTCGCGAGGCCGCGGCACTGCCGCTTAGTGGGAGATCCTTTCTGGACTGGAAGTTGCGCGGGCTGCGGCCGCGAACAATCACCGGGCCCGATTGAACCTCAGAGATGGAGATCTTTGCACCAGTCGAGAGAGTTGCAACAATCTTGAGCCGAACGACAAAGTGTTGCTGCAGCTCCTTACGCCGTCCATTGTTGGCCGTTGCGACGCGGAATTGCAAGCGTTTCCAAGCAATTGGGAAAGTCGCGTAGTCGGTATCCAAGTCCTGACCAGCCATGATATCAAGCGGGATTGGCGGGGGCTCCTTCTCAATCTTGGCAGCGGTGCCAGTGCTCGTCTCGTCGAGAGAAGTCCCAGAATTGGCAGCGGCGGCCGAAGGCGTTTTCCACGGCACCGATATAATCTTAACGGGGTTCCCTTCCACGGATTCCGTCGCGGACACGGTCAGCTCCTGCGCGAGAATCGGAATCCGATCACCTTGGTCGGTCATAATATAGCGCATTCCTCGAGGTAGGGTCACGGAGCCGGTGATCTGAAAGAGGTTCCGGCGGTAACATGTTAGCTCGGCACCTTGTTGCGGTGGGGCGTTCTCTGATGGGGAAGTTGTATATGGAGATTCGGCCAGAAAGAACATTCCATGAAGTTGAGCGGAAACCGACAAGGAGGTGCGACGCATGGAATAATCGAGCAAGGTGAAGTGGTAGGCGGGCAATGAGAAGCTGAGCAGTTTATTGTTGTGTTCAATGGAGGAATCCTGAGGTTGCTCGGGTGGGACGGGATCAAATGGAGCGACCATATCGGTGAAGGTATCATCATAACCCGAGGGAAAGCGATTCAGAGAGTGTGGCAGCCCATTTTGAGTGGTGAAGGCAAGATCATCGCTAGAAGCAGGGCGGAACAACGCGCCTAAGATTAGTCTCCGACCACGAGGGGGATGATATTGTACCCGAGGGTGGGGAGGAAGATCGATCATACCTAACAAAGGTCTCGGAGTCAAAGTTGGAACGGTGATCGGGCAAATCAAGACCGGGTATGGCATTGAGATAATCGGTACCCTGTAGATTGCCGAGAGACAACGGGCTGGCCAGATAGGGCGGCATGGCCATGGTGTCGAAGCCCTCCATGGCGAGGGATATATAGACCTGAAGAAGCTGGGAGGGGAGGGAAGGAGGAGGGGGGGAGGGGGAAGAAGAGGGAAAGGGAGAAAGAGGAACAAAAGAAGCCGTGACAAGAATAGCAAAAAGTAAGAACAAGGGGAAAGCAAAGCTGAAGGGGGACAAGCAAGAGGGGAGAGGAGGAAGATGGAATGCGTTGCGGATGCGCCGACGGATTCGGGGAAAAGTGGAGCCGCGAGTTTTTGCGGAGAAGCGACGAAGACGGACTTTGGAAGAGTTAGTGGGCCAAAGAGTTACGGGTCTTGGACTGGACTGGGACTGGACGGGTCGACGCGAAAGTGATTTACTTTCTGGGTTTAAAAAAAAATTGGCCGTCCTCAAATGGGGCACTCCAGGGGCGATCCACCGGCTCTCGGCACTAAAAGAGGAGGAGGAGGGGATATGAGGAGAGAGAGGGGGAGTGTGTGCACTCTAAAAGGCCCTGAAGATCATGCAGTGCAGAAGACGGAAAGGTCATCAAAACCCTGAAAAACGCCACGGATGACCGAATGATGAGGGTTAATTAAATGAAGAGGAGGGGGGGTTGGAAAAAGGGAAGAAGAGGAGGAGGGGGGCAAAAGTAGAACGGAGGCAAATCAAAGCCGGAGGGGGTACTTGTAATAGTATAAGTGATTTGAATGGGAATGATAATATAATTATAATTATAATTATAATTATGATTATATTTAATTACGGAGTACCAATTACTCCATACTATCAAGCTTATTATCTGGGTCATACTATCATGATATGGGATCCCATTTTATTATCACTCATGGGGAATTGTATCTCTCCACACATATTCCAGAGTAAGACTACTTCACTCCTTCACACTACACTACACTACACTACATACTTCACTTTGATCCGCTGTCTCTCTTTCACCTACACCTATTCGGTCCACACCCAAAGAAGGATCGATGATCAACATGGGCCCCGTCTGACATGCAGTGCCTTTGCAAAGACAGTCAGACCAATGATAACAAAAGGGCCAGGGCCCCGAGCCTGCGTGACTGCGATCGTGTTGCTCCGCTCTGGAAATGCTAGCGGATGCTAACGATTTCACCAACATGATTGGTGAAATCGGGGTCCCACTGTGAACGGGCGAGTCCACATCCGCACGCATCCAGTCGGAGTCAGGAACCGAGTTGAGTTGAGTCGAGTTAGGTAGGTCCAGTGCAGTGCTGTACAGTGCTGTACAGTACGAGTGCGAGCGAGAACAATATACGGAATAAGTGGTGTGGTGTGGTGATGTGATGCCATGCCTTGTTCTGTCCTGCTCTGCCCTGTGGTGTGTGCTTATGGCAAAATGTGCCTTTGTCAACTCACCCAACTGGCAGAGGATTGTGGACCCTATTTTCCCCCTCTGCTTCTGCTTCTGTCTCTGCCTCTTGTCTCTGCCTCGGCCTTCTCCGTCCTCGTCCTACCGAGTCCATCAAGACGTAAAAGGACCATGATCCGCTGCAGGTTCGCGAAATGATGCATCCAGTCCATTCGCTTGTGTAATTCCGAAACGGCATCACGAGCATGTGTTCCACAGGAGAGTATGGAGTCGAGCCAGACCATCAAACGTTGGCTCATCTTGACGGGTGTGGCGGGGGCCAGAAAGGCAAAGAAGAGAAGCTTGGGAGGATCATCTGTCGAACTCACCCTTCAATCTCCCCTGTGCATTTACCCGATTTGACCTAAACTGCTCAGTGGCTGGTCTTGATCATCATCCATCCCAGAACTGGTTCAGTGGATCCAGGGTCTTTGACAAGTCTCCAGTGTCCACACAGTCCCCATTCATTCCCCCCTTCCCATCCACTGAGATGAGATATACCAAGTACGGAGTCCTCGATGCGTCGCCCCCCCCCCCTGAGAGCAAGTCCAAGCCAAGTCCACAAGCCCCCGAGAGCCTCTCTCAAGCTTTAGCTTTGATTTACTTCCCGACGAACAGGAATACTGTATACATGTACATGTCCGTACTCCATATTCCGTACCCCCCGGTGATCACTGAGGTCGATCGATGGGATCTAGATGGGATGGAATGGATACCCCTAGATCCCGCCCTTCACCTCTTTCAGTAGCAGTTTCTTTCCTCCCGTCTCCCCCCATGTACACAATCACACAATCATACAATCATATCATACGAATGTGATGGGAATCGAGTCTCCACGTATCTGCGACCGTCCGCATCCGCTGGGAGCTCCCAGAGCGGGGATGGACCTAAGGATCGAAGATAAGGAATGTGGACCTGACCTTGTTCTCATCCTATGAGATGGAATACCTGTGTGCCCCTATTGCCGAGGAATTCCATCTTCTTCTAGTCCATATACGTCTGAGATTGAGTGGGGGCAATTCAAGGAAAGATAGAGGCAGAGGCAAAGGCAGAGACAGAGACAGAGACAGAGACAGAGACAGAACAGCTGTACTCCGTACAACCTGCGCGATTTCCCACATGAAAAGGAAAAGGAAAAAGAGCCAAAAAAAAAAGCCTCCCATCCAATCAACTTGGATCCCCAGATTAAACTCTACTAGATTGAAAACGCTCCCCTAAAGGCAAACCACGGCCGAGTCTCGAGTCCCAGTGCTTTCTCATTCATTTGCCCCGGATGCAATTCTGGCCCCGACACTCCGCTAGCCTAGCGCCACAGGGTACAGTACTCCGTACTTATGTACACTTCATGTACTGAATCTACTGTGCTGACAGAGTTCAGGTATTCTATTCGTCCTAAGCACAGAGCCTTACCTATTGCGGTCTCCCTTCCTCGACGGAGATCACCTTTTTCTAGAATCTGCAGAACATGCAAACTAAAACCAAAACGTCTCGATAACCGAACCTGTGGAAAACGCCGCCCTCGAGCCTCTTGCGAAAGGGAAAGAAAAAAAAAGTGGACCCCCCCTGTCTTGACCTTGACCTTGACCCTGCTTTGACTTTGGTGCTTGTTCAAGTTCTTTTTTGTTCGCCTCCGGCGCCAAGCGGGATCCGTCCTTGTCCAGAGCCCACATTCTCCCCGTACCCTAGGGTAGTTTTTTGATTTGATTTGGGCATACACAGCAAACTGGTTCAAGTTGAGTTTGGTTTTCCAAACCCAGTTACAGAGACTCCATAAGACCTACGGACGTCCGGTCCAATAAGCAGCCTCGATTACTCTGGTGCCTCATTAGGCGCTCCACCCCTCTCCACGCATAACATATGTGCATGGAGTTTGGGCTGGGCGTCGGTTGGAGCCGAGGCTGGCGTTGATTCTGCGCCCATTCGTGCTATTCTATTGGTGGTCCTGATAATGGAAGGCAAAAGATACGAGGCTGGGGTTTCTAGAATGAAAAAAAAGGGTTTGAAATATAATCATAATCATAATCATAATAAGGTAATGATAATAGTACCAACTTGAAGGTAATAATGTGGAAAATCATCAAACCTTGAACAGAAGATACAATCTTCCTGGGCGCAAACAGGCTGCGGATCTCCCGTGATCGACGCATTGTTTCTTGCCGACTCTGAACCACCTCGACCCCAACCCAAATACTAGTATGCCTAGGTCTACTTTGTGTACTGTACTCCGTATCCTGTACATATGTTTATCCACAAAGAATGATGTCAGATTGGTCCAGATGACGCCGTGCAGCCTGTCTGTCCTACCCACCATGAATTGGCCAACGCCCCCCCCCAAATCACGCCCTAATTTGGGGGCGAGTCACACGAGAAAGAAACGGCAACACAAAAAGAGAAATAGAAAATACAAAATAGTAAAAGTGAAATGAACCAAGAAGAGAAAAAAGCAAAATGAGACACGCCAATCAGGAAACTCCTCGAGGGAGTGCATGTACCTGCATCACAAACCCTGGACCCGGTTCCAGAACGAATAAAACAGGCACAACCCGGGCCTATAGCCAAAATGCCAGATGGATATCATAAATGCAACAAATCGGAAGACAGACGCGTAAAAGAAGAATATGAAGTGAAAAAAGGGTAAAAGATAAAAACAGCTGTGGCTATCGCTCTCCCCTCTTAAAGGCCCAGAACAATTGGAAGGGAAAGAGAAGAATCGCGCCCATTCATACACGCACGTCTATCACTCACGATGGATGCATCATCGACCATGTGGCTGCATCACAATTCACCTCCTCGAAGCTGTGTAGCATGGTGAAGCCCATCGAAGAAAGACAATCGAAATTGCCGTCGCCGTCCACCTAGTTCCTGTTAGCACGTAAACTCAAATCAAATCAAATCAGAAAGGGGTAGTAGGGTTCGTACACAGTCCATGACCACAGCATTGGCATTCAGCTTTCGGATCTGGCGGATGGCCAACAAGATCAGGCCCTGCATCACGGTCGAGTAGTCATCCGCAATTGGGGAGATAACAGGCGACGAGATGCCCCCAACGGGAGTGGGAGTATGCGTAGCGCGTAGAGTCGGCATATGCTCTGCCAAGGTAGATCGCTCATTATACACAACAACACTTCCTAGAATCATGTCATCCGTCGACCGCTTAGCACGGATGATCCCACAATTCGGCGCACCGGCCAGTGCCATGCGGTAAATATCAGCGACGCCCTGCCGGGCATTCGTCTTGATGTGGTCGAGGATCGTGCGGGCAAAGTCCCACCCGTAGACCAAGTCGTAAACAGCGTCGGCATTCTGCAGCGTTACCGTCAGGCCTTCCGGCGGCGTCCAGCTCGACAAGTTGCGCAGCACCACGCTGCATACCGGGCGCGCGAGCGACGTGTTCCATCCAAGATTGGCAAACCATTGCCGCAGTCGTTTCCGCTCCACGGGACTGACGGTAGGGATGCCTAAATATATTCCCGGAAGTCGCGAGCCGAGCTGGAAGCGTTTCATGCCTTTCCGCTGGACCAGTGAGCGAATTGCTCGGCTGTGTAGGGAGTGTCCAATTGACAACTTTCGCCGAGCTGGATCGACGATCAAACAGCCAATAACGCCGGTGCCCGAGGATTGGAAGAAATATGTTGCACAAAATCCGTACAGGGCTTGCGTGCTGCTGTTGCGAACCACGAAATGTGCCTCGTCGATATCTTCTTTCCGTAGCAGGAAACTGCTAGAGGTCGCACCGAGAAGCTCGGAGCGCTGGCCTTGTGTACAGTCTTCCCGCAATGCATCTAGCAAGGCATCCAAGCCGTGACTGTCACGTTCCTCATTCCAGTTCTCCACCAGCCAGTGCTGCCGGGACTGATGGATTTTTTGACTGCGACTGATAGACCCGGGTAATGATCCAGAGGGGCCCAGTTCACCATAGAGAACTTTGACGAGTGCCTGGAGCGCTGTCTCTGTGAAGTCATATGTGCAGACGTAAGTTCCAACCGAAGAGTCCATGGCGAAATCGTAGGGTGAGCTGACAGAGACCACAATCAAAGGCTTTTCCAGCCGCTCTCCTGTTGATGAATATTGGGATTGACAAAGTAGTGATATATGTTTCGAAAATGCTTGTTGATATTTGTTGCGATATCCATCTGCTGTGACAACAATCACAGCACTCGCACGTTTGACGAGATCTTCGTGGATGGGCCCTACGCCATTGGCCGTGTATGAAGTATGCAGCACACGCCCGTTTCGTTGACGAGAGAGTGATCGGCCAAGTTCCTTAAACACACTCTCCCCGCTCATGACTGAAGATGTCCTTTCCCAGGACGACGAGTCGAGGCCACCGTGGGCTGTCTCATTAACAGAAAGCGTAACTGCCGAAGCCGCGAGTGGTTTGACCAGTGGCGTGAGGAGTAAAAGCTCCTCGCTTGGGTCAATTATATTGGAAAGGGGGATGAGATTATTCTTGTCTCGCATCACCGTGATCGAGTCGTTGTAGGCACGAGTAGAAAGATTGGTATGAGAAGGCTGCATCTGTGTAAGCGAAATAAGGCCTGGAGGATTCAGTGCTTGTTCCCAAGAGGTACAGCGAGCCTTGAGAGCCAAAACGCGGCGTAAAGACTGCTCAATACGAGCGCGGCCGATAATTCCATTCTCAACGCCCAATTTCAACCCGTTGATTGCCTCTTGCTGCACGGGGAACGACCGGCAAAGAAGGACGACATCACAGCCGGCATTTTTGGCCATCACTGTTCCGCCACCAACACCGATATTGTGCGTCAGTGCCTCCATCTCTAAACACTCTGATACAACGACTCCTTGGAACTTCAAATCTTTCCGCAAGAGCTCGTCGACAACTTGGTCACTCAAACAGGCATGCATGACATTCATCCCGGCCGATGACATCGAGACTCCGCCTACCATCATCGCATCCAACCCGTGATTAATCGCATTACGAAAGGGAACCAGTGCGCTCAAGCTTAGCTGCTCGAGAGACTCTGTGATGATGGGCACGTCGGCATGCGAGCCGAGGAACTCTAGGTTTCCGTAGGATGGGAAATGTTTGCCGCAAGTCGCAAGTCCCGCTTGTTGATATCCTTTCATGAACTGGACACCATACTGAGACGCCTCCTGGGGGTCATCACCGGTGGTACGAACACCCAAGGGCTGATTTCGAACATTAGTTAGCACATCCAAGACGGGGCCCAAAATCAAATTGACCCCAACAGCCTTTAGCTCTTGAGCTGTCGCAACGGCAACTTCATGAGCCAGTGCTTTTGACCCGGTTGCCGCGATTCCCATGGCACTGGGGAATTGACGTATATAAATCTCATCATATAAGCTGTTGACGCCGCCATTTTCTTGATCCAGTGCGATCATCAGTGGAACGAGGTGACCAGCATCGCGGGCAATGGTCTGTAATTCGAGAACCAGTCGGGTAGCTTCCTCCGCAGCTGTGGATACGAGATCAGTAACTTCTTAGGAAGGATCAGGTTGTCCTAGGCTACTACCGAGCCCATAAAGGAGAAGTAGTAGATACATTTAAGGTTTTTGGCTGAGAGAAGGACCGATCCCAAATGGTAGTTTTCGATGAGTGAACGAATCTGAGGGCTGACCGTGGTGCCATCGAAACCCATCATAAAGAGCTGGCCCATTTGCCTGTAGGGTGGTAGGTCAGCATGGTGTGTTTAGTGTTGCACGCAGCACAGCACCACCTCCATACGCCCTCACCAGCCTCGCCAGCCCGGTGGACTCTGCTCTGCAGGTGTCAAAGCTTCCGAAAGTGGAAATAGGCTAAATGGCACCGAGAGGGCGGGGGGATGGCGGGGGATCGATGGGGTTCCACAGCGCCCGATGGTCATGGAGATGGAGGTCGAAAGGGGGGTGGAGGTGTGGTGTGGTGTGGTGGTGCACCGGTGACTGGGATAGGTGCACCGGAAGAAGGCGATCAACATACCTGTCGGGATCCTCCCAGCCCGGGGGCAGCATGTCCTCCTTCGGGGCCATGGCCCTAGGGGAGGGGATGCGGAATGCCAACAGAGCCCAACTAGAGAAGGGCGAAGGGCAAGGCGCAAAGGGTTGAAGCTCGAGACGGTTGCCGCAAGCAGAACTGGAGGATGAGATTCGAAACTCCTCCGAGTTCGCAGTCAGGTGACGAGAGAGGAGTTGGAGGGAAGGGAATGCGAATGCGACAAATGGGAGCAGCTTCCAGGCCTGTCGGGGAGCCGCAATCGGGGGGAAAGTCAGATAAACCACAGCGGGTCTCTCCGCCCGTCAGGCAAAGTCTATGCATACACACTATGTACGGAGTACACTAACTACTACTAGCTAACTACTAGCTAACCATATTGTCAATATCTGGGGTTAAGCATGAGCCACACGCCACAAATCACCACGTTTTGTTCTTTCCTCCCTTCCCCAGATGTACCTGATGATCCTTCTCAATTTTGATGGGAAACACATTGACCCTAGTTAACTAGTTAGTCTATGGAGTAGCATGACCTTGGTTAGTCAGCATCACGTGGGGTACCATTTTTACCATACGTGACCAAACGTGACCGAACGAAGCTGGTTGCGACGCTAAGGTTGCACTCTCTCCCCAGCTTTCTCTTCGTCTACAATCCTATCGCATATCCACTTTAACCTCTTTCTTTGCCGATTTCACCGGATGCAACTTCTTCATCACCGATGGCACCTTTCATGCCAGCATGACATCCAGGCTCCGCTCTATCTGGAGACTTACCCTAACCTCCCAGGTCTATCTGCCAATCAGAATCTCAGTTTCTTCTTCTTGACCACTGCGTCATTCCCCATTCTTTCTCTTGTTGGCCACATGGTATAGATGCTCCCAGCTACAAAAAAAATAGTTAGTACCTGCTTTGGTCCCCCCATTGGATACACGTACCAACGTTCACAGACAGCCCACATGGCCCCATTACAACAATGACATTTGCGGAGGCCATTCTTCCTACTTAGACCTGTTAGTGATGTGGGATGTAGTAACCGTAGTCAAATCTGGACGTCGAGAGCGGAGCCACATCTACTACGACGGTTGATCTTTTTGTCACTGTCGTACACCCCCCCAACCCCGACGTAACCGATCCATGGGAGGCGTCGTCCTCTTTCCCTCTGCCTTTCTCTGTCCTTAATCATATCTTCCTCTCTTCAATTCCTTCTTACCCTCGACCTTGACCTTCCCAATCTCTTCATCCTTGGAGGTTCGCAATCCTAATACACCTCACCTCAACTCATATTTACTTCCTTCTCGCCTCTGACGTAACTATCCACCATGTACGGCTTTCTTCCCTTCTACCCTTGCCTACTCTATGTTTTCTTGACAAAGTCAAGCTGACTCCATCACAGGCGTGTTATCATTCGCGAAGACCCCCAAGAGGTGTCGGTGTATATCGCCGACTATATCGTCAGTAAGTACTTACTAGTTGGCTTGCTGACTTGCATATACTGACAATCTCACCCAGGCCGCATCAAGGCTTTCAATCCCACCGAATCTAATCCCTTCGTCCTGGGTCTTCCTACCGGCAGCAGCCCCGAGATAATCTACAAGATCCTCGTGCAGCGCCACCGCGCAGGCGAGATCTCTTTCAAGAATGTCGTAACCTTCAACATGGTATGTAAAAGCCAGCACATCCCCCCCAAGCCGCATATACTAACCAACCACAAAGGATGAATACGTGGGCCTCCCTCGCGACCACCCCGAGTCCTACCACAGCTTCATGTACAAGCACTTCTTCTCGCACGTCGACATCCCCCCGCAGAACATCCACATCCTCAACGGCAACGCGACAGACCTATCCGCCGAATGCGCCGCTTTCGACGCCAGCATCGCCCGCTTCGGCGGCATCGAGCTATTCCTCGGCGGCGTCGGACCAGACGGCCACATCGCCTTCAATGAGCCAGGCTCATCTCTCGCCAGTCGCACGCGTGTCAAGACCCTAGCCTACGATACTATCCTCGCCAACTCACGCTTCTTCGACAACGATGTCAATAAAGTCCCCCGCATGGCCATGACAGTCGGCATCCAGACCATCATGGACGCCCGCGAAGTCGTCATCGTCGCAACAGGCGCCCACAAAGCCTTCGCCGTACAGAAGGGCCTGGAAGACGGTGTGAATCACATGTGGACTCTCTCCGCGCTCCAGCTTCACCCCCACCCGTTGGTCGTCTGTGATCGCGATGCCACGCTGGAACTGAAGGTCAAGACTGTGCGCTACTTTGAATCAATCGAGTCGGCCGGTACGGATGCGCGCACCCAGGGTCCGGCGCTGGTGTATCGTCCTCGCACTTATGTGCCTGCGCCCATTGTCACTAAGAAGACGTCGTCGCGCCAGCAGCCTACGCCCGACCGCACACCTGTCAAGGTCCCCAAGGACCTGCGCATTAATACGGAGCTGCACACTGCCATGGAAGACGATGAGCTTACGCCCGACAGCATGTCTTCGCGAATGGTCGACTCGGCTATTGGCGGGCTTGACGGGGCGCTGAAGAATGACTTGATTTTTGACCGGATGGGTGCGAGGATGACTGCTCAGTGAGATCTGCGCCGATGGGCATGGCTCTTGACTTGGGCGGGCTTGCATCTTTCCTTTTTCCCGTCTCATAATCTTCTCTTTTTTCTCGGGTCATCGCTTGCATTTGTGGGATTCGTTTCTTTCTCTTTTACTCTGGATGAGTTGCGGCGTTGTTCTTTTCTTTATCTCGGTCGTTAATTGATAGATGGGGCTATGGTGGATATGATATCCTTCTTTTCTTTTTTGAATCTGCATTCGATATGTCATTTAGGCACCAGCGAATACAACGGCATCACATAATTCGGGGCGCAATAGGGTATGGTTAGATTGATACCTTTTAAATTAGAATTCAGTTTATTTATTATGTGTTGTTTTGTGCTGTAATGCGTAGTGTGTGTTTGTAGTGTATACTTCTTGTAGGTATTGTTAAGGTCGTATCATGCATGACTTGGCACCTGTGGTCCATGCACAGCCCTGCAAGGTTACACTTGGTTGGATACGCTAGTTCGATAGTAAAGTGGGGGGGACTTGAACTGTCAGTATTTACTAGCTCGTCCAGGAAAAAGCTACCATAAACATACCTATTTAGCAGTTTTCCTATGTCAGGTCTTCAAGTTGACTTTTCCTTTCCCCTCGCCGCTTTTGCTCACTGAGCAGAACTGAGCACGCCTCTGAGCGCCCATTGTTGGTTGTGGTTGTGGATGACCTAACAGGGCTGAGGTCATCCGGCCCGTTACACTTCGGCCTTCAAGTTTATATTGATATAGATCTTCGATTGTCCGTCACAATTTCTTACAGGTAGACTTTCTAAATGTATTGATCAACATTATCTTGGTAGGGTTGTGTATGTCTATGTACATGATTCATCCAAAATAACACCAACACTCCTGATTCGCTCAATTTCCTTCTCGTATTCCAGCTTTTCCCCCTCATCCTCGAGCCTAGTGTCTTTCTTAATCTCAACTGTCCAGTACTCGAGCAAAAATTCTGGTAACCCCAGTCCCATTTCGTGGTATTTCGACAAGAAGAAAACAGTCAGATTCTCAACTTGTTCAATCAAGGGTCGCTCTTCATCACGGATACACTCCATGTCATCTCTCAGTTTGTCATATTGGGTCTCATGCCACGGGCCGCTTCCCAAGCAGCATAAGTGAGTAAGTTCCAAATGTTCAAAGATGCAGATCCGAATGACGGTTGGGGCCAGTGCATCATTCCAGGCTTTCACCGAGCCAGGCTTTGTGCGCTCGCTGAGGAAACGAACTACTTCAGACACAGCTTGCATTTTGAGTAAAAACCCCTTCCCTTTCATCAGGTCCCGAAAGAAGGTTGTAGATGGAAGGCATCCCTGTGCCGAGCACGCACACGAACATGCGTCCTCGTGACAATCCATGAAGAGGTTCTCCAAAAAGTGCCAGCTTTTGTGCTTCAACGGAGACCACTCTCGATCTAAAACTCCAAGTATTGCACTCAGACTCCTTGATGGGCTAATATCACTCCACTCAATGAGATATGAGAAGCTCCCTGGTTGTATCTCATCCCCAACACAAGACTGGAAGAGTGATGAAACACCGAGTCCAAGGAAGTGCATTGCTGTGCGACCATCTCCATGTTGCCTTCTATGAAGATCAGCGCCCTTACCCACCAGAAATTGCAGCGTATCTAGTACTTTTTTGAGACCGCCAAGGGGTTGAACTCCCCAACCGACCACTAGAGCAAGGTTCATGAGCATAGTAAGTCCCTTGCTTTCTTCTTTCCCATTTTTTCTTCCTCTTCCAAGTTTTGAAAACCTGCATCGAAAAGCATTTTTGCAGCATTGATATCATATTCAATGTAGCCATAAACAGTGTCCATTTTATTAGGAAATTCCAGGCCTAGATCAAAATGTATATCAAACATTTTTAGCTTGGAGGAAACTTGTGAGGCATGAGAGTCCAGAACACCCTGCTTTGGTAAATCGAGTTGGCCTTGTATGTGAACTGGTAAATGTCTTTCGGCCAATTTCTGCAGCTTTCTTCTGCTCTCAGCTAAAGCATGCACTACCAATTTGAAAATTTCGAAGTTGCCAGTTTTATGTGCCATACGGACATGGCTCGTATTTATACCTGGATTGTCGTCAATCAGTAGCAGCTGAACTGATTCATAACAGTTAGATCTGAGAGCGTGGGATAGAATTTTCCTCTTATCCAGATGATAGCCAGCTTTCAGAAGAATGCGAAGTCCTGGTGGCCACCCAATGCACATTTCTGCGAGATAATTTCCATCTTCAGGAGCTTCTCTGGCTGTTGGCATTGAGACAACATTTTGTAAATCGCCCTCTGATCTTAAAATAATGTATTTCTCTAGATCAGAAGAGTGCAGCTCTAGATTTTCGGCCAAAATTAGTGCTCGCTCTCAACTGATTAACTTGCACCAAAAATGGGAAATAAAGAGCCATCTAAGAATACGGACATACCGTCATATAGTACATTCCGCCTCATTATAGCGTAGAGGTAGTCACTGGAGCAATGTCTTGGGTAAGACGAGCAGGCATTGTATTGGCAGAAATAGAGCACCGGGTCGGAGGTCTCATTAATACTTTGTGTTAAATCTGCACCACCGGCCACGAGATCAGAAACCATGAACACCATTTGATCTTGGATAAACTTCGATGCACCGTTGAAATCGTTACTCCCATTTATGAGGAGGGTGTTCAATGCACCTCCTTGAAATAGACTTCTTTCGTTTAATGGGACGCCAAATTCAACAAGACGCTTGATAAGGTCACGGTAATCTGCCATCATAGACTCAGGAACACTCGGTATCAACCGAAGAACTTCCTATTCTATTTGTCAGAGCCATGGAGTTTTCTTCGACTGTCGCGATTTCTCTGCTTACATGGATGACATTTCTACCCGCCCAAGAGTTAACATCTTTGGGTGAAGCCGAGCCTTCCTCGTATACTAATCGTAGCTGATTGATCAGGTTCCTGATCAAGGCCGGCGAGGTTCTTTTGTTTTCCCGCTGGCATAGCTCATCATTCACCTTCTCAACAAGCTGAAAAGCGGGTGACTCTCTCGCATCGACAATCGGACAAAAGCTCAAGGACGGGAAGATTGTATATCCCCCACCTCCTCTGATGCTCTTCAAACAAAAATGAACGGAACTGCCAAATAATCGGTTCCTAAAATTCATTCTCGTCTCAAAAACAGATTTTTCTTCATGGAAGTAAAGGGGACATCCAAACTTATGGGAAGATTGCCAAAGTGATGCCAGAAGCCCTTTCCTTCCCCGGGGAGAGACAGGCAATGATAAACAAGAACATTTCTGTCGCCGAAATCGACCAATGGGCATCCCTGAGGTATTGATCAAAGATACAGTAGTGTGACTGAGGACTTCATGGGTGTCGCGTAATGGGCCCAGTCCTGCGAAATCTTGAATTGGCATGTTTTGTCGGCTGAGTTGAAGAGACTAGACCCTTTCAGTCAGTTCGAGCATAACGTCAAACAATGTTTCCAAAGACTCACCATGTCTCCAAGCTGTTGCTCAATGCCCGAAATCCTCAAATCGATATTCTGTTGGGTCTGGTCGATATTTTTGACGTGACTATGGATCATCGTCGATTCGGTCACAATCTGCTTTGTAGTAGCACACAATATTGTTGTCCTCTCTGAATCCTGCGAGGAAATGAACCTAGCCAACTTTTAGAAGCGAATCAGGAAAGAATATAAGAATGGCCAAACTTGCAACTGCAAAACATCGATCGAGGTGTCCAGGTTTGATTGTAGGCTCTCAACATGCTCGAGAACTGCCTTGATCGTGTCACGCCGGAAAGGATATAATGCCTTGTTGATGAAGTCTCGCTCGGGCTTCACCGGTGATGCCTTGCACTTATCCATGATATCCTCCAATTGTCCCAGGCCCCTTTTGCATGCGACAATATTTCGCTTAGCAGTCTTCACTGCGGCAGTTTCTGTTCGCAGGTCGTCATGACTTTGAAAAAAGTCTTCAAGAACCTGAAGAACATCTTTGAGTCCCTCGAGCTTCTGTATCATATTCTTCGTTTCTTTGGAATAATCACGGAAGGTGCTGTAATAAGAAACAAGACCTTGGCAAACGGACAAGCCCAGCGAGACGATACCGACCGCAGTCCCGGCAAGGGAGACTGGGTCGCTCATGATGGATGTTCTAATGAACGTTTATCAAAGAGAGGGTGCGTATAATAGGGTGCGTAAAGAGATTTTGATATCGACTCTGCGAAAAGGAGGGGGTAAGATCGAATGCAAACATGAACAGCCGCCGTTCCAAGGTTGCCTCATAATAAAAGTCAGCCACCTGGGCATCCTTTAGCCGCACGAGGCAGTGCTCGCCATGCCTGCATGCGTATCGGCGAGCAACCAATCATCATTTGCGTTGAGGTTGTGATTCAAGCTGCATATTTTCGGGCCAATTGGAGGCACCCACGTAGAGCTGGGCATGTACATATAGTGACGCCGGGCATAGCCTTTTCAAAAGTTTGACTTAGCCGTTTATTGGGCCTAGGAAAGTTGAGGTACATGAGTCCAATATTGAACAACACAATTCAACAGACCATTGCGCTAATCAAATTTACAAGCATAAAAATACCTGGTGTAGTGAGGAGGAGTCTCTCTCAAAGGATAGGAGGCCTGAGCGGTGATGACTAAAACTGAGTGGTTATCAAGGACTGCTTGGATAGATTCAACTTCTCTTCGTGAGACACTAGCTTCATACAGTTTACTATGGTTTCGTTCCCTTTTGGCAGGATATAGGATATTACAAGACAGCTCAGCGCTTTGTTCAAGTTGCGTCCTCAGCTGAATCGACCCTCGTATCGGAGAGTACGACGCCAACGAGCTTTCCACCACTTCAATAGGTACGTGGAGTCGACGGCTACTGAGGCATGTAGAAGAAATCCGAACTCATGCTGAAATATGAAATTTTGAATGCACCTTTCTATCCGACCAATTCCCGCTCATATAAAATAAACATTCACATCATTATTATTTACAGCTTGGCAAAGACCGTAGCCACAGCCCCACTCATATCAACGAGGGTACTCTTATTCTGCACCCAAGCCTCAATACCCCGACGACCATTCTCCACACCCAGACCACTCTTCTTCCATCCACCAACCGCCATCTCAGCGGGACTCTCGCCCCAGGTATTAACCCAAGTAATACCCGCCTGAAGCTGATCAATAAGACGGTGAGCCTGGTTCAAATCCTTAGTGAAGACACCAGCCGCGAGACCGAGCTCAGTAGCGTTAGCGCGCTGCAAAGCCTCCTCAACGGTATCGTAGTACAAGATCGACATGACAGGGCCGAAAATCTCCTCCTTGACGATGCGCATGTCGTCAGTGCAGTCGGTAAAGATGGTAGGCTTGACCCAGAATCCAGCCTGCAGATCCTGGGGCACGGAGTCGGGCTTGCCGGGACCACCGCAGAGGAGAGTTGCGCGGTCGGTCTCAATACCGTGGCGAATATAGGCGATGACCTTCTCCTGGTGAGGGGAGGAGGAGAGGGGGCCGAAATTAGTCTGTTCGTCGAAGAGCGGGCCAGCGCGGACGAAGGGCATCTTTTCAAGGAGGCGCTTTTCAAAATCGGACTTGAGGGAGCGGGGACGAAGACCCGCGTGCCGTTGGTGCAGACTTGGCCCGTGCTGTAGAAGTTGGCCATCATCGCGCCGTCGACTGCGTTCTCGAGGTCTGCGTCTGGGCAGACGATCAATGGGCTCTTGCCGCCTAGCTCCATGGTCACGTACTTCATGTTGCCGGAGGCCGAGCCGGCGACCTTCTGGCCGGTTGATACCTGGCCGGTGAAAGAGACCTTGGCGATGGAGGGGTGGCTGGTCAGGTAAGCGCCGACATCACCGGCTCCGTTGATAACGTTAAAGACGCCGGCGGGTAGGCCGGCCTCGGTGTAGATCTCGGCCAGTGTTTGGCCGTGGAGGGGTGTGAACTCGCTGGGTTTGTAGACCATGGTATTACCGGCGGCAAGGCAAGCAGCGGATTTCCATAGGGCGCTAAAAAGGAGCATTTTGTCAGCCACATAAGTCCGTTTGGAAATGTTGCAGTTGCATGTTCAAGGGGAAGGGGGGTGTACATTTGAATAGGGTAGTTCCAAGCACCAATACCGGCACAGACACCCAGAGCAGCCTTCTTGGTATAAACCCAAGCATCCTCACGGAGCTGCGTAGTCTCACCATTGAGACCACCGCCACCAATGAAGTTGGCATAGTATTCCAGGACATCGGCACCGGTCACGACATCAACAGTGCTAGTCTCGGTGAAAGCCTTGCCGGAGTCGAGGGTCTCAACGCGGGCAATCTCATCATTACGCTCGCGCAGTAGGGAAGCAGCCTTGTGAAGGATCCGGGCACGAGCGATAGCTGGAGTCTGGGACCATGAAGGGAATGCACGATCACCGGCAGCAATGGCAGCGTCGATATCAGAGTTCGAGGCGATCTGAATATCTGCCAGCGGGGTTGCGGTGGCGGGGTTGATAGTTTGAAAGGTCTTGCCGGAGGAGGCGGCACGAATCTGACCGTCGTAGTAGAGCTGACGGGGAGGGAATGAGAGGGCCATGATTGCGTAGAAGAGGGAAATGTAAAATGAAAGGTACTATGATAAGGTGAATGCAAGCTTGGGGGTAATAGGTTTATCGAGATCTTTTTTACTTTTACGGAGGTGCATAAAGTACACCGCCTTACCGGACTTGGACCGACGAAACGCGCCGAGTGGAGCAGCGCTTGTACGTAACCAGCCTCACATCCTTCGATTTGCGGGGTTGCCAGGCTGCAGATTCGCTAGAACAGCGCGGCATCGAACATCCGTGGTCAGATTTTCCTCCAGGCCCCACTGGGAAAATTGCACTAAACACGGGCACGATGGGCTCTTTTTCCTCCCCTCGCGCTCCCTGGTGACGTATAGATTCTCGTGTCTTTCGACGCCTCCTTTCGAGATATCACCCTCGGTCTTCTCCGGAATCAAGTCAGCCTCCTGATCCGGTTTGAATTTCCCTTATCTTCTTCATTTCCACCCTCTTCCCCGCTCATTTATCTTCGACTCAAAACTATCGGAGACGAAACACCGGTAACCGAGTGGGTCAGTTGTCTCTTGTCTGCTCCACTCCGAGTGATCGCCACCACTCATTCGCCCCAATCCCAACGCAAAGAAGGCAGAAAAAAAAAAGAAAACCCGAAAGAAAAAAAAAAGTTGAACCGCGTCTACGCCAAATCAAGGCAATCAATCGAGACGGATTGGCTCGTTGGATCATACCACCTGCCCCAGTCTTTCTAAGCTTCCTCTTTCTTTTTACTTTTAAAAATAGACAGAACTTCCCCTTCTCTCCCCCTCTCTTCTCCTACCTCATCAGTCTCCAATCTCCAATTATCTCCAACATGGCCACCACTAACGATCTCCCCGGCATCGATGTCAACAGCTACGACTACATCGTCGTGGGTGGCGGCACCGCCGGCTGTGTCATTGCCTCGCGCCTTGCCCAGTATTTGCCCAACAAGCGCACCCTGGTGATCGAAGGCGGTCCTAGTGATTTCATGGACGACCGCGTCCTGAACCTGAAGGAGTGGCTCAACCTCCTCGGCGGCGAGTTGGATTACGACTATCCCACTGTTGAGCAGCCCATGGGTACGACATAGCTCCTTGCCTCCTTTGCGACAGCCCTGAATCCTCTTCTGCATCATTCACCCCAAAAAAAGCCCACATGCCCACATGCCTATACGCCCACACGCTCCGTCTTTAGAATAGAGAGAAGATACTAACACTCCCCGTAGGCAACAGCCACATCCGTCACTCCCGGGCCAAGGTCCTCGGTGGTTGCTCTAGCCACAACACTCTCATCTCATTCCGTCCCTTCGAGTACGATTGCCGCAACTGGGTGAACAAGGGCTGCAAGGGCTGGGACTTCGAGACCTTCACCCGTATCATTGATAACCTGCGCAACACCATCCAGCCCGTGCATGCCCGCCACCAGAACCAGCTCTGCAAGGACTGGATCTCCGCCTGCTCCAGTGCTATGGACATCCCCGTCATTGAGAACTTCAACGATGACATCCGTAAAAAGGGCGAGCTGACCGAGGGTGTCGGTTTCTTCAACGTCTCCTACAACCCTGACGACGGCCGCCGGAGCAGTGCCAGTGTGGCTTATATCCACCCTATCCTGCGTGGCGATGAGAAGCGTCCCAACCTGACCATCCTCACCAATGCCTGGGTCTCCAAGGTCAATGTCGAGGGCGACACCGTCACTGGTGTCAACGTGACCCTACAGTCCGGCGTTACTCACACCCTGCGCGCCAAGAAGGAGACCATCCTTTGCGCCGGTGCCGTCGACACTCCCCGCCTGATGATGCTCTCCGGCCTCGGCCCCCGCGAGCAGCTCGCTGCCCTGAACATCCCCGTCGTCAAGGACCTCCCCGGAGTCGGCGAGAACCTGATCGACCACCCCGAGTCAATCATCATGTGGGAGCTCAACCGCCCGGTCGACCACAGCGCCACAACCATGGACTCCGACGCGGGTATTTTCCTCCGCCGCGAGGCTCCCGACGCCGCGGGCTTCGACGGCCGCGCCGCCGACGTGATGATGCACTGCTACCAAATCCCCTTCACCCTCAACACGACCCGCCTCGGCTACGACGAGCCCATCAACGCCTTCTGCATGACCCCCAACATCCCCCGCCCCCGCTCCCGCGGCCGCCTCTACCTCACCTCCTCCGACCCCTCCGTGAAGCCCGCGCTGGATTTCCGCTACTTCACCGATCCCGAGGGTTACGACGCCGCCACCATCGTCGAGGGCCTCAAGGTCGCTCGCAAGGTCGCCCAGCAAGCCCCCTTCAAGGACTGGATCAAGCGCGAGGTCGCTCCCGGCCCGAACGTCACCTCCGACGAGGCTCTGTCCGAGTATGGTCGTCGTGTCGCTCACACCGTGTACCACCCGGCCGGTACGACCAAGATGGGAGATGTGGCGCGCGACCCCCTGGCCGTCGTCGACCCTAAGCTTAAGGTCCGCGGTCTCAAGGGCGTGCGTATCGCTGATGCCGGTGTCTTCCCTGACATGCCCTCCATCAACCCCATGCTTACTGTCCTGACCATCGGTGAGCGTGCTGCTGAGCTTATCGCCGAGGAGGCTGGCTGGACCCGCTCCCAGCCCCGTCTGTAGGGTGCTTAAAGCGAAGCGAAGCGAAGCACAGTCCAGCCCAGCCCAGCCCAGCCTAGTGCGGGCGCGGGAACACGCATGCAACACAGTTGACTGCGTTGACTTGTGTCTGTTCCCTCTTCTCATGACCGTATGTCTGTGAAAAGTTGTATTTTTGGAATTTCTGTTTAGCATCTCAGCGAGCGGCGCAGAGCAGAGCTCGAGCTCCGTGAGATCAAAGTGATGGTGAAGGGGGGGATGTCTCCCTTAGTCAACGTGTTTGATCTAGTATAGTACTATAGTACCTGGCTGGTCGTCCGTCAGGCGGCTCCGGGGTCTTGGTCTTCTTTTGGATTCTTGGATACATATATAAATATTACCCGAGCATATTGTCATTTGAATGGTTTTATCGTACTAGTAGTGTACCGCATAGTAGACTCAAGTTGAGATTGTCTAGTAGTACTAGTAGTACCTAGGTACCTACTAGGTAGGTTAAGAGTTCAAGTTTTGGAGTAATGAAATCGCGCTAAAAGCTTGGATACTACCTAGGTAGTAGCACCTAGTAGAGGAGTAGACTTGGACTCGGAAAAAAGCTTCCATGGATAAATCAAACCTTGGAATCAAATCAAATCAAATCAGAATTAAAAGAGACCCAATACAAGTTGAATTACAAAGCACAGTTTGAGTCTAAAATGGTATGATTTCAAGTCTATTAAAAGGTAAAGATAAACATTCGATGCGATGCTCGGGATGCGTGTACAATGCTTAAATAGATGCTTGCCTTGAATCCATGCAAGTAAAAAGATAACAATAACATCCAGCCGAACGCCCAGATCCCACCAGATATCATAAGACACAGAACAAAGATAAGAAGACAACACAAAACAAAACAAGAAAACCACAAATAAGCAACAGACAAACCAGCCCTAGCTGGCTACTTCCCTAAGTCTCCCCTCTCCCCTTTCCGCAGATCAAGATCAAGTTAAACAACAACACCCCCCTTAACCTCGGAATCGAAGATCTTAGCACCAAACTTCCAAACCTGATCAACAGTCAAAGTCGGCCCAGAATCCTCATCATCCCGCTCCCCGAGAACAACCAAATCCGCATCCGCCCCACTATCCAACGACCCCTTCACACCCTCCATCTTCAACAACCGCGCCGGCACAGCCGTCGCAGCATTAATCGCCTCCGCCGTCGACGCACCACTCCACCTGCGGAAATTATTCAGGCACTCAATCAGTGTCGCAGAACTACCCGCAATCTTATCCGACCCCTCAAGCGTAAGTCTCGCACCCGTCTTGACGATCCGCTCCCCATTCGTCCACTCATAGACACCGTCAGGAAGTCCACACAACCGCATCGCATCAGTGACAAGCACCAGCCCCTCCGGATGCGCATTATACGCGATCTTAATAGAGGTAGGATGCAAGTGGATGCCGTCCGCGATAACGCCGTAGAAGGGACGGCGGCGCTCACTCTGACCCAGCAGGCCGAAGATACCCGGGTTGCGGTGCGAAAAGGGCCGCATTGCGTTGAAGAGGTGGGTGATCATTGTTGCGCCTTGGCGGGTGGCGCTGACGGCTTGCTCGTATGTGGCGTCTGAGTGGCCGATTGCGTAGATGATGTCTCTTTTGGCGATTTCGGGGATCTGCGACATCATGTTGCCGACTTCGGGGGCGGCGGTTATCATTTTGATGGGGGATTTGACAGAGTCGGGGCCCGAGGGGGATGGGTCGAGGTTTGCCGCGCCGTAGCAGGTTATTAGGTCTTCGAAGGTTTGGGCTGCGAGGAGGACTTCGGATTTGTGGATGCCATTTCGGCCGGGGCTTATGAAGGGGCCTTCAGCGTGGGCACCGAGGGATTCGGCGCCATCGGTAGGTTGGTGGGTTGTTGCTGTTGGGCCGAGGGAGGGGAGGACCTGGTGGATGGTTAGCTTTGGTATTGGTACTGGCTTTGGCTTTTCATGGGGTGGAGGGAGAGGTCATGTAGAGTGTCTCGGGGTGTTTGGCAGAAAACGAACCTTGTGATAAACCTCCGCGGTCGAACTAACGACAGTAGGCAAGTATGAGGTAACACCAGTGCGAGCGAGGCCGCGGTTCACCATGCGCAGACCTTCATCATACTCTTCCTTGGTGTCACAGGGGACGGAGAAGTCGAAGCCCTGGGCACCGTTCAACTGGACATCAATGAGACCCGGGGCCAGAATACGGCCGCCAAGATCAATGATCTCATCGGGGGAAAGGTGTAGTTCGTAAAAGGCCTCTTGGTCCTTGAGGATCTTGCCGGTAAGAGAGTCGATCCAGAGGTCTTGCTCGACTAAGCTCGACCCGCGCACCAAGCGGCAGTTGGTGAACTTGGTGATGCGGGGAGCGGGGGTGGTCTTGCCAGGCATGTTGATGTTGTTGAGATCAAATCAGGCCAAGCCAGGGTCCAGGTCCAGGTTAATGTCAATGACGATGGGAAATTAGGAACAGGCAGGGGAAAACAAGAAGTTAATAGAGCGGGAGGAAGTGATGATGTAACGGTTGATTGTTTGCGAGGTGACATTGGGGTTCGGCATGCCGATGTCGTAGGTACCAGATTCGGTAGTAGACGATAGAGTATACCAAGACTTATACTTAGTAAGTAGTATAGTATACTACACTACATTATACTCTGCAGTAGTGACGGGTGTGGCTAATACTGGCTGTACTCGAGTCCACCCTATAGATGGTTACACTGACTATGTGGAGCGTACTGTAATTACTGTATTATAGTCCGCATGCGGGGATGGCGGTATTCAAAGGCACCCTAAGGTATTCTGGAGTCATCTAACGTAATATAACCGTACCGGGAGAGTATCAGTAATGCGTATCTCTGGTTGCAAGCGGATGCAACTCTGTTTTCGGTCGCATTGACAGCGGGTATCCCAATGCTCTCCCAATGCTATCCTATGGTCTCCCATCCCTATCTCATTGCACTGCTCATCCCCGGTCATCCTTGGTTATCCCCTGTGGTTCGCTCGATTCTTCTCCATAATCTCCAGCGGCTCCAGAATCTCCAGAATCCCCATCATCGACATCCCCGCAACTGCCCACATGACGAGCAAAAAATATCGTAATAAATCCACTTTCTCCCCATTATCGTGCCATTGATTTCCTTCTTCTCCGTATTGACCCCATTGTACCATTACTTATCTGTGAAACACGATAAGCTAGCCTCGGCTACTATAGGTCCACGGGATATAGTCTCTTTTTTTTTGGGAACTAAAAAAAAAAAGTCGGCCCCCCCGAATTCAGCTCTCATAAATCTCAGCTCACAGCCTGACCTTTACCTTTTTCCTCCTTCATTCTTCCCTTTTCTACCTTTGTGATCCTCACGTGGGAAAACATTCCATTCCAACGATCGCAATTGGAATCGCGATCCCCCTTTTCTAGATCGTTGATCTAACCCACCCCCCCCCATCATCTCCTCCAATCTCCGATCTACACTCCTCCAAACCCACACCTGCTCTTCCCCAGATCATGTCTTCCGAGCCGGAGCAGCAATCGCCTGCGCCGGCGTCCACAGAGTCACCGGCCATCCGATCATTGGAAGAAAAGACCATGCCTTCCGTCCAAGGTGAACCCGCCGTTGACGACGCTGTCGTCGGTCCGGACTGGATGTACAAGCCAATCATCAAAATCGGCAAGTGGCAAGCGCCTTGGTTCGCATCGCCCGAGACACAGCTCTACCTCGTCTCCTTCGTTTGCTTCCTCTGCCCCGGAATGTACAATGCGGTCAGTGGTCTTGGTGGCGGTGGCCAGGTGAATGCGACCGATGTGAACAACGCCAACACCGCGTTGTATAGTACCTTTGCCGTTGTGGGATTCTTCGCCGGCTCCATTGCCAATCGTATTGGTCTTCGTCTTACCCTGTCGCTCGGTGGCTTTGGCTACTTTCTATACGTCGCCGCCTTGCTCTCGTACAACATTAACCAGAATGCGGGCTTCCTGATCTTTGCTGGTGCTCTGCTGGGTGTTTGCGCTGGTTTGCTGTGGTGCGCCCAGGGTGCCGTTATGATGAGTTATCCGCTGGAGCATGAGAAGGGCAAGTATATTGCTATTTTCTGGGTGATCTTTAACCTGGGTGGTGTTATTGGTAGTTTGGTAAGTTATAGCCCTTTCGCAGAGAGCTCCTGGGACTCGAAGCTAATCGCCAATTGCGTTTTTTTTTTCTAGGTCCCTCTAGGTCAGAACATGCATTCTACCGCCGGAAACGTGAATAACGGCACCTACATCGCCTTCCTCGTCCTCATGGCCGTGGGCTTCGCTCTGTGCTGGGCCCTCGCCGATTCCAAGTACATCAAGCGCAAGGACGGCTCGCGCGTCATCGTGATTAAGAATCCAACCTGGAAGTCTGAGTTCCTGGGCCTGTGGGAGACGCTGCTGAGCGACTCGTACATCGTGTGGCTGTTCCCGATGTTCTTGGCCAGTAACTGGTTCTACGGATATCACTTCAACGCGGTCAATTTGGCCTACTTCACCGTCCGCACGCGTGCGCTGAACAGTCTGCTGTACTGGCTGATGCAGATGGTCGGCGCTTTTGTATTTGGCCAGCTTCTTGATATGAAGTGCTTCTCGCGCCCGATGCGTGCGAAGATTAACTTTGGTATTCTCTTCGCTATTACGCTGGGTATTTGGGGTGGTGGCTATGCGTTCCAGACGCGGTATACGCGGGAGACTGTCGAGGCCGATATGGATTTCACTGATAGTGGGTATATTGGGCCGATGTTTTTGTATATGTTCTATGGGTTTTATGATGCTGCTTTCCAGACTTGCACTTACTGGTGAGTTACTTGGGCTTTACTTGGGATTTTCTTCCTGATGACTTGGGTTATGCTAACGTGTTTCGTGCTTTAGGTACATGGGCTCTCTGTCCAACAATGCTCGCAAGCTGGCCAACTTTGCCGGTTTCTACAAGGGCATCCAGTCTGCTGGTGCAGCTGGAATGTGGCGGTATGTCTTTTCCCTATACATCTACACTGTCTGAATTATATTCCCTTACTAATGGTATCTCAGCCTGGACGCCGTCAAGACTCCCTTTATGACCGAGTTCGCTTCTTGCTGGGGTCTTCTCCTGGGAAGTATGCTGCTCGCGACACCCGTTATCTTCTTCAAGGTGAAGGACAGCACCGACGTCGAAGAGGACTTGAAGTTCTCCGACGAAACCGCCGCCGATGTCCTCGGCGAGACAGAAGGTGGAATCAACCTCCCCGAGAAGCCTCGCGCCCACGAGGACGCTTCTGACAAGGCGTAAACAATTGATATTGCTATATAAGGCATACCACGCCAGGAGCTTATCAGTTAATGTACCATCAATTTTTATTTTCCTGCATTTATTTTTCTTTCTCTTTTTCATGGGTTCGATTCTTGTCGGCTTGATTGCCACGAACATATGCATTTACGAGGCGCGTCCTTTCATGTTCTAGGTCCGGTCCGTGTCTGGTACCGAGGTTGTCGGGACTAAGGTGTGGAATTGTTGTGCGATATGGAATCCGGATAGACGATCCATACCTACTTACTATGAATACTATGAACAAATTAGATTCAAGTGGAATAATATTGATTTGTATTTAAGACACGACGACGGTCATAGCCATAGTCGTAGTAGCAGTAGCGGTAGCAGTAGCTTTATACCTGTCCATGTAAATTCTCCACGGCATCTATACACACCACCCTGAGGCAGCACTCATACATTATCCGCTTCCCCCCCCTCACACTGACTACACAGACCCGGCCTTCGTAGAAGTAGGCAACGCGACAGAAGCCTGCGTATGCGTCGCCGACTTCGGCCCACTAGACCCAAAATCCGGCGTCAACTTCTTCTCACCCTTCGGCAGCTCCCACCCATTAAGCGTGCGATTAAAAAGCTGCAACGACGCAACAGGCTGATAGAACGGCACCTCATGGCCCGCCTCATAAACCCTCGTGAACGAAAAGTTGCCATACTCGCGCGTCTCGCCGTACTCGGTGCCGTTGACGAGGAAAGGCGCATACCCGGCGGCGCGGAATTGCTTCGCGTGCGTGTAATTTGTTGCGAGGGAGACGGCTTGTCCGCCGAACCAGTTGCAGATGTAATCTGCGTCGCCGTAGATGAGGGCTACGCGGACGGGTTTGGTTAGGATGTCTTCGAGGTCGGTGATGAAGTTTGGCCAGACGAAGTCGCCGGTTTGTTGGAAGGCGTAGTAGATTTCTGAGTTTGAGGATGTGTAGTTTAGGTCGACGCCGAGAGCGTTCATGACGGTGTCTTTCGCGAGATATTTTTCGTAGTAGCTTGGTGGGGTTGGGTCTTGGGAGGGGTGGCGGATGTCGTAGGTTCCTCGGCCGCTGAAGACGTAGTATGGTCCTTCTGGAGATGGGGATTTTGGATTAGTGCTTTGTTCGTGATTTGGATCAGACATAGAGAGGGGGGATGGTGTATAGGGATTTCTTCTGACGCACCGACGTTGTCACGGCACATGTTGCCGGCTTCTGTGCAGATTGCGTAGTCTGATAAGGAGGATCGGTTGGTGAATTTGCAGTTTTGAATCATGTCCTGGCATCCGTTGGGCATTTCGTTGGCAAATTTCATGTAGTTGTAGACAGTCTCGTTAACCTAGTTAAATTGCATTAGTATGTAGCCACTGGAATCGCGAACGGAAATAATTACCGCTTTGATGCCGTAGGTGTTGTGAACAGCAAACTCTGGGTAATGGGGAGCTTGAATAGACTCATCAATAATTCCGTTGATGATTCCGAGAGTGTTGAATTCTAGCTCAATGCCATCCACGGAGCCATTGGCGATCTTCTGGTTTTCCTCGTAAAAGTGGTCGAAGAACTTTGCTTATTAGAATTTCTGGACGTTTGATTCGGGTTTTCATAATTGCTACTCACAGCTGGGCCATAATGTCTATTGTATGTATTAGCATCGGGTATTGAAAGGGGAAACTATCATGGATCTTCGCAGCTGCTTACCCTCCATAGCTTTCGGTCCACAAATTGAAGCTCTTTGATTTGATCTTCGAGTCCATCTTTGGTAGTCCGCCGAGAAATCCCTGCAAGACTTCCCAGGTGGCTTCGGCAGCGAGGTTGGTTGTGTCTTGACCGCAATTAGTCTAAAGTGTCTCGAGTATAAGCCAAGCGGACATACCAATCATAGTAGCATTAATAACAGGGTAGCGGCCTTGAACACCGGCGACATCTTCACCCTGGAAGGCACCTGTCAATTGGTTGATGGAGCCTGCCTCCTTCTCAGAGTATGAGAATCCTTGAAGTATGAAGGTCAGTGATGTGTCATATTTCCAGAAGACGGGGTTGCATTACACGCACCAGTGCCAAGAGGCTGAGAAATGAAAAGCATGTTTGAAACCTCACTCCATGAGTGGGGGTTAACATAGGTCTCAAACTTCTCATTAACCTGACAAGGACCAAGTTCTAGAACACATTTCGTCAGTACATCAGCCATGTTTGAGATGTTGAAAAAGCAAATACTCGATACACATCGTCTCACCTTCAAACAAGCCAATGAGCGAATCACTGCCCGGACCACCGTTAAGCCACAGCGTGATTGGCGCATTCTCCGGATCGTGGCGCGCTTCAAAGAACCAGAAGAATGTATGTTCTGTGGGCGACAAGTCCACATAACCTGCATATGATTTCACACCCGGCGTTGTTTCACAAACACCCTCCTTCCCGGGTTCCTTGTACCGAATTGTGACATTGTTGGCCGTTTTAATCGTCTTTACACCCGTAGGCTCGTGAGGTAGTTGTCGACGTGCAAATTCGGTGCCAAAGGGGATAAAGCTGGCGGCCGCGACGGGCACTAAGAAGGGGATCCACGTATTGAAGCGCATGATGTGTCTCTGTCTCTGTCTCCACTACAATGAAGAAGTGAAGAGCAACGTCGAAAGTGGAGGAAGACTTTTTGCAACAGGGGCTGCCGACTGCTACTTAAAGGATCGACTCTCAAAACGAGGAGACAGCTCGCCCAGGCTACATTGTTTGTATGCCATGGCATGGCATATCCAGTCAGAGACCAGCGACCAAGATAATACCGGAGATAGCCGCCCCGGGGCAATTTGTGATCACCAGTCATAATTTCCCCTGAAGCAGAAGGAGGATAAGGCGCGTCGGGGAGCATTAGCCAACGAGAACGCTTGTGGGTGGACTCAACGGCTGCATATCGTGGGGACAACAGCCATCTCCGCAGGAACTCCGGGCCAGGGTCACATCCGAGTCCCTCATACGAGGGTCCCAGTCAATCATGGCAGTCTGATTGTTCCGATCCATTACTGAGTGAGGGGAAGGATCGGCAGCGCTAATTGATGCATGAGGTGGATTGGCTGACTGGCTGGTTTGGGTGGGGTCCGTTCAGGGATACTCAAGTACCAACCAGGGAATGTCTGCAGAGAAAAAAGCGACAGCTTCAATGGACTCATAGAGAGGCAAATTAAACAGTGGGGAATTTGGTTGGGTTATCGGATGTGATCTGGAGGCAGTTTTGGAGTGCCGGGTACCGAATATGCACGGAATAGAGAGATTAACATCGGGTGGGATTCCCCGCATCTTCAATAGGTATTTACCGACGCACTTCACTTTCAGTTTGCATAACAGATTACTAGCCATAACGTATGATAACGCATAAAAGATAACAATTCAATGATACATATCATATTTCTGCATACTCCGTACATAGTGTCGAAACAAACCACTCGTACATAACAAAGTTGGTGCAGTAGTGCTAAAGATACATCCACTATGTCGTCATTTCAACTAATTACGATCTATGGTGGCCTAACCCCGGCTGTAACGTGGGCTTTTCCATAAGGTAATCATAAGCTCAGTATGTGTGCCCGGGTGAGATACGGAATTTCTTCCTCAAATCCATTTGAAACGCTTGTACTCTGTATCTTAAATTGGATGCTGCCTAATCAACCCAAGGCTGTGCACATTCTAGACGCATCATACTACGAGAATAACAACGTAAATTGTACAAGACGCAATATTCATGTAACATTGTTTTGTTTAGCTCTTGAGGCTTATTCTGGTATCATATAATTAGGTACAAGCTTCCGAACTATTATTCAAGTTCAAGTCAAACACCTAATGATGGCCCCGGATGCTAGTGGGTAGGGCATTGGGGAGACTGCCACAATATACCTAGGTATGCTACGTAGTATTCCAATCACCTCTGACAACCTGAAACTTTGAATGAAAGCCCTGGAGTATCCGGGTGCGGAACTCCCGAGGTCTCTTCAGGGTTTTTCGTGGAACTCAATCCAATATAGATTTTACTCCGAGCTGGGTTTTTGTGTGATGCAACTAGTACCCAAGCAATTTTTGAACAGCAACCAAGATTTGAAGACTTTATAATCAGATTTCTGTTCTGATGGAATTGAGGCCAATAAAGAAAATAGAAGTTGCCGAACTGAGCTTAGGTTTCTATTTTTTAGAGGGTTTTGTACGTTTATAATTACAAACGAAGAAAATACTAGGCACTAGGATAGATAAAATTCAACCACTGGCGATCCTTTAAAAGAGTTCAAAAAGTTATTTAACTTCCAAGGCGGGTTCTGTAAAATCGAGGGGCGTGCTGTTCAAGTTACTGTCTCTATTACTTGATGTGTACACTATTCCCGATTAGGATTAGCGCGAGGCCACGAGGCTGCGAGTGTATCTGGCAGCGCCATTGCCCTGTCTTCTTGCCCTTCTCCATGCTTAGTTTTGCGCCTCAAATGCACCTTTTCCCTAAAAAGCCGGCCAGTATCACAAGTTTCTCTTACATCAAGAGATTCGACAATCACAGATCATTACTGTCGAAAATCCATTTTCGAAAGTTTTCCACACCCCCCAGAGGAGCTCCAACCTGGAGGCAGTGGCACAGGAAAGCAGCATGACCGTCTAGAAGGTAATATTGAATTTACGTCATTGGAATGTATCGGAGTTTATTCGTATTCTCATTTCCATATTCCCAAGAATTGAAAATCTCCTGCTCTTATATGACCCAGATTAACCCGAGAGGAATTGAGTTGTGGATTTTAATAATCGCGTCCATCACGGCCACTCTGACCGAATTTGCCCGCAATATCGCCGGCCTTCTCGATAAACTTGTCAATCTTGCTTCCAGAGTTGGACGAGCCATAGGAGTCGTCGCGATCGGATGAACCATATGAGTTGTTCCCGCCGGACGAGGAGTTGTCGCGGCCAGACGAGCCATACGAGGTGTTGTCGCTGGACGAACCATAAGAGTTGTTGCCGGAAGAGGAAGTATCGCGGCCAGAGGAGCCATAGGAGTTGTCACGATCAGATGAGCCATAGGAGTTGTTCCCGCCGGACGAGGAGTTATCACGGCCAGACGAGCCATATGAGGTGTTGTCGCTGGACGAACCATAAGAGTTGTCGCGATCAGATGAACCATAGGAGTTGTTGCCGGCGGACGAGGAGTTGTCACGACCAGAGGAGCCATAGGTGTTGCCGCCTGATGAGGAGTTGTCACGGCCAGACGAGCCATAGGAGTTATCACGATCGGATGAGCCATAGGAGTTGTCGCGATCAGATGAACCATAGGAGTTGTTGCCGGCGGACGAGGAGTTATCGCGGCCAGAGGAGCCATAGGAGTTGTCACGATCGGATGAACCATAGGAGTTGTTGCCACCTGAGGAAGAGTTGTCACGGCCAGATGAGCCATAAGAATTGTCGCCGCCGGACGATCCATAGGTGTTGTCACGATCGGATGAACCATACGAGTTGTTGCCACTGGACGAGGAGTTGTCACGGCCAGACGAACCATAGGAATCATCACGGCCAGACGAGCCGTAAGAGTTGTCACGGTCAGATGAGCCATAGGATTTATTGTCGCTGGATGAGTTGTCACGACCAGACGACCCATAAGAGTTGTCACGGCCAGAAGAGCCCTAAAATATGATATTAGTGCCGGCCTGGTAGAAGAATGGCAACATGAGGATGATGGATCATCCAATCGCCGATACTGTTTTGCGAAAAAGAAAAACAGAGGCGACATCTAGATCTCAACTTACATCGTTTCCATAGTTTGAGTATGACATGTTGCTGATCACTGAGTTTCAGTTGAATAAACAATCTTAAAATAATAAATTTGATGTCCAGTTCCAATTCTTTCGGAGTCCACTGAGCGTCCACGAGGGGCTTTATAGGAGATGAGTGAGTACGGAGCCAAGATGGTGTCATTTCAAGCGATGGTGGGGTGGTCGAATCTGATCTCGATTCGACCTATTCTAGTGAATCTCCACTAGTGAACTAGTGAAAAAGAGGGGTAACTAGTTAAAGTTGTGATAAGCGATCATCCGTGCTCATCCTGAATTATTACGAAGCTTGTGAGACGATAACTCGCGGTACTCCGCACAAGTCAATATTTAATGAACTAATCTGTTTATTGTTTTGTCTAGAAGGTTCCGAAAATACAGAGACATAGTCTAATAAGTCAATCCCCAACAGAGGATTAGGTATTCCATTTAGAAAGTGAAAATCGGAAGTCTCGGCAGGTAGTTCAGCCATAGCTCAGCTCTCCACTTCTTTGTACCCAATCAGTGATCTATTTCTTCCTTTGCATAGCTATAATATCACGCCACTGTGCGGAGTATGGAGCACGGAGTACATATAGGTTCAATATTTAGGAAGCCACGTGGGTCCTTTGAATCGACTTCCACGAACCCCTCTTTGCTTGCTGCATGGGCTAGATTCATCCACTATTCAGCTCGTATCCCGAAGAATTGCACTACCCGCAGATCTGTGGTCATGGGCCTGAGCGTGAGAGGTGTGGTCGATCGATCGTCTGGCATATGTCAATAGTGACTGATTTTTGTTGTTGTGTTGAAATCTCAAAAATCCAACGATCCTTTGATCCTTGAGGGTACGGCAGCCGATAGTGAGGCAGGGGCCAAAATTCCTGACCCAATCATTAGCCTCACCGCGATGAGTTCCGCCTGGCTTGACCGCTAAGTACACCACCAACCAGATCTCCGTATGCTCTATCAATAGCGCAGTAGGGGTACGTTATAGATAGAGTGGTGTTGGTCAGTTAGACCGAAACCTCCAAAATGCCAGATTTTCCAACATTCTTCCAGATTTTGGTTCACCATACTAATCTTTACGAATCTTCGCCAGTTTTGAGAGCTCAAATCTCTAAGATACGCGTTTTTGACAAATCTGGCCTTCTACCATGCCTGCTGGACGACCCCAGGTCAACATGGAGCCCTATAAGGACCAAGTCATTGTTCTCCTGACCCAAAATACACCTATTAATGTCATACTAGACATGTTGCACCAAAATCATGGTCTCCAAATCTCTCCCAGAACATTCAAGCGCCGTACGCAGGCCTGGTGTATCCAGCGACGAGCACCCACAGGCATCACCAATAACAGACCCTTACAAATACGCGTCGAGACACTCATCTGTGAGGGTAATCTGTCTCCGAAAGAGATACTCGAAGTTCTCGCCCGTGATGGCACTCCTATCTCCAATGACTCACTTAAGCAAATCCGTAGGCGGCTTGGTATACGCCTTCGCATTGATGATAAGGACGAGCAGCGTCAGCAGAAGGACGAGATACTAGAGGTACTGGAGGAGGAACAAGGCTTTGGGCTTATTGAAGGGTACGGACGGGGTCATCTTTATGCCCACTTACGCCGTCATGGGCATATCTATGCGAGAGACCGAATCTTCGATATTTGGTGCTCTTTGCGCCCTGATGCTCTTGAGCGTCGTTCGACCAATCTCCAGAGGTCGCGTGGTGCCTATCAATGCCCTGGGCCAAACTTTGTATGGCACATTGATGGATATATGAAGCTAGAGCCTTGTGGGATCGAGATATATGCTGCGATTGATGGATATTCGCGTTATGTTACCTGGTTCTATGTTGGTATGCGCACCGCTATAGGGTCATTCTAAGGTCTTTGAGTATCTGACTGTCTGCCCTAGGTATAAGCACGCGAACTAGTTTCAGCGTTCTCCGTCAATATATAGATACATTATCGGCTACTGGCTTCCAACCGCGCACTATCCGCTCCGACCTAGGCACTGAGACGATGCTGATCGCCGATGCTCACTATGCCTTACGGAAAGCCATTGATATCGATCCAAGGCTTCAGTTTTCTGACTGCTTTTGGTATGGCCGTAGTGTCCAAAATCAACGCATCGAGTCCTGGTGGGGACAGCTTACAAGCTCTATGAATTTCGTGTGGCGTAAGCTCTTTATTTGGCTACAGGACCAGGGCCACTTTCAGGCGACTATCCCTGACCAGATTGCTCTTCTTGCTGTATATATACCTTCTATTAAGGACACATGCGCGGAATTTGTACTGACATGGAACTCCCATCGTATAAGGAAGCAGAAAGGACGCCCCTATAGTGTTCCAGGCAAGCCATGGATGAACTACTACTATCCAGGGCAGGATACTGATGGACAGGATATCAAGGATTACCAGCACACGCTTGACCCTACTTTGCTTAGTGCTATACGATATGACGTGGGTGGCTGGGATGCTAACGAATATCTCCCCACGCATACTATGGAATGGTGCCATACTCAGCTGCTACAAATGCAGTTTGACCCTGAAAGGCCACCAGCACGAGACGGCACCCGCCCATATGTGGAGATCTACCTTCGGCTACGAGAGCGAGCCGTCTATCATACCCAAATAGGTGCTATTCCAATCCTATCACTGTGCGAGAAGCCCACTATGTCTTCTGATTGGGCATAAAATTAAGGGAGCGGCTCGCAGGCTTGGCTTATGTTAGAGATAAAAGTGGAGATTAATAAATATCAAGCACTAGTTCTGTCAGAACTTTATTATTCTAGGGGTTGTAGAAGATATTCTAGTGTCATCTGACGTCCAAGAATCTCCTAATATCCTAGCATATCCCATTGAGCATCTTCCACAAAGCACTACCAACCAAATGGCCTATTATTCCAGCGACACGCCTGATCTAGTCGATTTGACAGGGCCGTATGACGATTCACCATCCTCCTCTACCTATACTACTGGCCAAGGAGCAGCACCGACAAGAGCCTCTCAGCTTGTACCAAGCCATAACCTGCTTCCTGACCCCTATAGTATAATACACCAACGAGTGGCAGGTAGAGTTCGCAAGCGAGAGATAAAGAGGACTAGACCAGGACACATTACTAGGCCTGAGCCACCACAGCAGGCCCCAACTCTTATCCGCTTCTGTCTCTGGCGAAGACCATCACTGGAGAGAAAATCATGGACGTTTGAGGAGCTTAGTGAGTTTAGATATCGATGTTATTTAATTTAATCAAGGTATGTTCCAATTTGCTAATAGGCACTTCAATACAGGTGATGTTTCCCAGTGGGTTCCTCCACAGACAATTTATGGCTTTAACAACTTTATTACAAGATATCTTCTGCCTGCGCTTAGTCCTGATCTCGGGGTATATTCAGCAATGCCTACCGACCGATATCAGTTAGCCACAGGCCTAAAAGGTCAAAAGGGGAAGAGGGAGCCATATATCCTATCCGCTACAGAAGATTACATGCGATGTACTACAAATCTCTGCGAGCGTTTTGATTTGGCCGGTAGAGCTCGTCAGATTTATGTTGTTATTATACGTGAGGAGGAACAGCTTCATATCAAACCTGAGCCTATAATGAGCCGCGAATCGAGCTTGGCCAGCGACATTAGCAATTGCACGACCCTCCCACCACCAGAACAGCCGGCTACTGACGCTAGGAGAGAGGCTACTTTAAGGGCTACTCCTCAGCGGCAGGTTACGCCACATCAGGATACACCGCAGCTAAGAGATCCTTCAAGTACGCTGCGACGTGGTGGTGCAAGACGCAGTGGCACCAGAGGCCCTCGGGTAGAAGCATCACCGGCTATATCACCACCACGTACGCGTAGTAGGGCCTCTAGGGGTATGAGGGCAGGTTAAAACTATTCAGAAACTGCATATTTGGGCGATTTTGAGCACCTACAAACAATCAGAGTTAGTTAACTCATAGTATAGTAAATGAGAAGGCAGGATTTTAAAGATATAGTTTTATGCATCTAGAATTCCAGAGGCCTTGGTCTAACTCTGTCATGACCTCTGAATAGAGGCACACTTCTTGCCCTTCTCCAGAAATACTTGCTTAACATATTTTGGCAGAAATATACAAGCCTAGGGTATGAACCTTCCATATTAGGGCTAGTGACCTTTTCTGCCGGCATTATTTGAATTTTGGCCCCAACCTCTCTATCGTCTGCCGTACTTGAGGGACTTCCAGCCAAGGGTCCTTGAAAATGCACCAAAGATGTGCGAGAGTGGGGCAACCTCATTATGGCCGAATCCAACCCACTATTTGGTCCCTCGGTTTCTGAGTTCTCTTGGAAAACAGAGTATATTCCCGCCCTGGGCTCGTAGAGCCCAGAAACGGGTTCATCCGTTTTATTAAGCCTACTACTAGGTAGGAATGTGCTATCTACTAGTAGGTACTAGTACAAGGCCACCCACAATACTGCAAACATCAATGCCCCTAGAATACCACTAGTAGCTAATACCTCCCGAGACCTTCCAAAGATACTGATGATACTTAGAACATAGACCCAAGGACCCCCAGAGACAAGCCTGATTAGTTCAGCCGTGTTTCTTTGCACAGGATAAAAGAAGGCTCTTTGATCGCTCTTTCAGGGCCCCATGGAAGCCTTTATAATAGGACTAGTATCGACTAAGGCCTGCATATTCCAACTTGAAGGTCAGCGGTTGGTTTGAGCGCTACTACTGTATATAATATATAGGTGAAGTTGGGCATTGCCCGGGTGGGCGCGTGCTTTCTGGTAGCCCCCCCGCACTCTTCTTGCCCCTCCATCCTGTCCGCTCCACATATTCTCTAGCTCGAAGGTTTTCATCGTATGCGAGTCCATTGATTTATGTGCCAAAATTTCATAAATGCTAGTGAATTGATACCTCTCAAGAGCAGCGGCCTCGGGCACAGATTTATTCGGTCAACATCCCTATATCTAGTGCTCTAGATAGCCTCAGCTAGACATTCATCAAACACTTTCATCAGCAGCAGCATCAGTATCTCTCTCATCTTCCATGATAGCATTCGGCATACCTCACTACCTTAAAATCTCATTGATCAAGTTTTGACGACGCATCGCTCACTATTCTGGTTGCACCCACAACGAGTTTAGTGTGCCGGAGAGATACCCAGACATCAATAACAACGGCGGTTGTTCATGCTCCTATGTCCGACGCAATAAAAGATTCTGGGAAGCGCACTGCTGCGCCCACATGTAATGAATACACCGTGGGATGGGTCTGCGCGCTTCCTAAAGAGCAAACTGCAGCGACCGCCATGCTCGATCATACTCATCCTAAAATCACCAAGCCACCAAATGACACTAACAGCTACACCCTGGGGTCTATCGGCAAGCACAACGTTGTCATTGCCTGTCTGCCAAAGGGAAAAATCGGAAATAATGCAGCCGCAACTGCAGCGACCCAAATGGTGCGCACTTTCCCATCCATAAAGGTTGGCTTGATGGTGGGAATCGGAGGTGGCGTCCCGCCAAAGGTTCGACTCGGGGATGTTGTGATTAGCGCCCCTGTTGCTGAATTTCCTGGAGTTGTCCAGTGGGATTTGGGGAAGGCAGAAACCGGTGGCAGTTTCAGACGAACGGGTGCTCTCGATAAACCACCAAACGCACTTTTGACTGCGTTGACACAACTCGAGTCTCAACATGATATGAATGGATCTAAAATCCCGAAGTACCTTGACGCTTTGAAAGACAAGTATCCGAAGATGGCGGCAAAATACACCTGGTCTAATTTTCGTAAGGATCCGCTTTCCTCCCCAGACGAGTCCCAAGAGAAGCCAGAGGACATTCGCGTACATTATGGCCTCATTGCAAGTGGCGATCAAGTCATCAAAGATGCCGCGGTTCGTGATAAACTGAATGAGAGTCTTGGTGGAAATGTCCTATGTTTTGAAATGGAAGCCGCTGGATTGATGGACAATTTCCCTTGTCTTGTCATTCGGGGAATTTGTGATTACGCTGACTCGCAGAAGAATGAAGATTGGCAAGAGTATGCTGCTGCAGTGGCTGCAGCTTGCACAAAAGAGATCCTTGAATACGTTGAATCGAGTGATATCGATGGAGCGTGCTTGATACAAGATATCTTAAATGATGGTAAGTTATTGCCCAATATGTTCAAGAACAGAATCTTTCTGACGTTTCCTAGTCAAAACATCTGTCCAGAGAACTGAGCTCAACATAAGAAGGATAGAATCAAATATGGACAGAGCAGGACGCATAGAAGTGCTGAATTGGTTGACTCCATTCAACTACGGTCCCCAACATAGCGACTTCATAAAAATACGACAGCCACAGACGGGTGAATGGTTTTTATACTCACCGGGTTACAAAAACTGGAGAGACCAAGAAAAACAGATTTTGCTTTGCAAGGGAATACCTGGCGCTGGGAAAACAATAATCGCTGCGACAGTCATTGATAATCTCATGACAAAGTTCTACGACGACGACTCCACGGGGCTTGCTTATATCTATTTCAATTTTCGCAGACAACACGAACAAGAACTTGAAAACCTATTAGCTAGTCTTATCAAGCAACTGAGTCAGACTATGCGTGTTCTACCAGAAAAGGTTACGAAACTTCACACGAAGCATGAAGAGAAGAACACAAGACCATCAGTTGATGAGCTTTCAGAGGCGCTATTGTCTACAGTGAAAATTTATTCAAAAGTTTTCATTGTTATTGATGCCCTCGATGAATGCCACATACCTGATGGACGCCTTTCAAGGTTCCTGTCCGAGGTATTTTATCTACAGAAGAAATCTGCGGTGAACGTCCTTGCCACCTCACGTCCCATCCCAGAGATTGAAATGAAGTTCCAAGGTCACCCCTCGAAGAACATCTCAGCTTCGGAAGAGGACATTCGCAAGTATATCGATAATAATTTGACCCGAATTCCCAGTTTTGCTCTTGAGTACCCAACTTTGCAAGAGTTGATCAAGACTGAAATTGTTGCTGCTGCTGGCGGGGTGTAAGTCCTCACCCCTACACTTATAATCCTGATTCCCTAGGAACGCCATGGTTGAAATTTCATTAGGTTCTTATTGGCAAGGCTTCACTTTGATTCTATCCTCGGAAAAAGATCACGGACAGCTATAAATGCTGCGTTGAAAAATCTTCCAACGGGGTCAAACGCGTATGATCACGCTTATAACGAGGCCATGGTAAGGATTCAGGGCCAACATCCAGAAGCGAGACTCTTGGCGGAGCGAATCCTGGCATGGATTTCCTGTGCAAGAAGACCGCTTGCTACTTCAGAATTACAACATGCTTTGGCTGTTGAACATGGTAAAACCGAGCTAGACAAGGAAAACATCACACCTATTAACATCATGCTATCTGATTGCGCCGGATTGGTGGCGGTCGACGAGAGCAGCAACATTGTCCGACTTGTCCATTATACGACGCAGGAATATTTTGAACGAAAACGCCGAGACTTGTTTCCAAATGCAGAGGCTGAAATTACGAGAGATTGTCTAACTTATCTCTTGTTTCATTCATTTGATGCTGGGCCTTTGCGAACACTAAGTGATCTTGACAGTCGGCTCCAGAAACATAAACTCTACGATTATTCAGCCAATAATTGGGGACGCCATGCTCGTGAGGCCTCAAAAGTGGCATTTGACCCAATAATCATGAATTTCCTGAAAACAGAGTCAAAATTTAAAGCATCGAGCCAAGCACAATTCAAGCAGGAATCTTTGTACCCTTGGTCCAGCTTGCGCAATGTACACAGAACAAGTCTTCACCTAGCGGCACTTTTTGGATTAGAGGAAGCAGCCACAAATTTACTACAGGATAACGTCAATATTGATGCAAGCGACTTTTTCTCCAACACACCACTGGCACTTGCCACGAAAAATGGCCATGAAAGGATGGTTGAACTACTTCTTGATAAGAAGGCAAATCCAGAGCTTACGGAGGACTATGGCTGCACGCCGCTTCTTTTGGCGATAATAAAAAAACACGAACCCATTGTCAAACTGCTCCTCAAATATGGCGCCAGAGTTGAGGGAGGTAGTAGGTTCGGGACTGCCGAATATTTACCGCTTGCGCTGGCTGGTGCGAATGGGAATGGATACAGATCAAAAGAGCGCCTGCTAGGCAACCCACTTTCACTAGCTGCGCTGCATGGACGTGAAGGAATCGTCAGAATGCTCCTTGAAAACGGCGCAAATGTCGAGGGAGACAGATCAGGCAATTGTTTCCTAAGCACTCCACTTTCGTTGGCCGTGCAGGAAGGGCACGAAGGTATAGTCAAGATGCTTCTTGATCATGGGGCCAAGGTGGATGTGAAGACGTACCACACTGATATTACACCGCTATTGTGGGCTACTAAGAACCCTCTCATTGATGGAAATGTGATAAGACATCTGCTTGAGAATGGCCCCGACCTGAATTTCAAGGACAAAGATGGCCGCACAGCATTGCTATGGGCCGCAGAAACCGGAAATGCCACCGCGGTCCAGCTGCTACTTGAAAGGGGCGCTGATCCGACGCTGAAAGACAAGTTAAGTGGACTGGCACCACTCGCACTAGCTACACAGCATGGGAATGAGGCAGTTGTCAGGATGTTTCTTAATGAAAACACTGACATAGAGATCAAGGATCGCTTTGATAGAACGCCACTATCATGGGCTGCCAGAAATGGCTTCGAGGCAGTTGTGAAGTTGCTACTTGACAAGGGAGTTGATCTTGAAGAAAAGGATAGCGGTGGGGGAACACCACTTTCATGGGCTTCTGGAAGACATGAGGGGGTGGTGAAGTTGTTACTCGACAAACAAACTGAAATCAAGCTTAAGACAGTTGCATGAGGATATTTCGTGAACACATTTCCCCCCCCAAGTCTGTCCAATTTATGTATAAAACTGAAATTTTCGTACCGCACAGGATAAACCTGTCATTTTGAACTGCTTAGGGTGAATAATTAGTGAACATGATCACTGAACACCTGGAGGTTCCGGTTTATCATGAATAGTTGGCTTCAGGTCGCCCCCGGGGGCCGTCAATAAGTTGTTGTCTCCACACTAGTTAGCTAGTTAATTGGTACTAGTAGCATGTTCAAGTTAAGGGGCGACGGGTATGCATTTGGATGACGCTTTTTCAGCCAATCACCGACAGATTCTGGGTGGCGATGAACGTTACCTCTCTAACCAATGATTAGAACGCTATTTGTTGATATTGTTACAGACGCAGTTTTATCCAATAACAGCAAACTTATGGATAAAGGGTAGCATTCTGAAGCTGGATGACAAGGTTTTGACCAATGATCAGCAAACTTTGGACGATGTACAATGCATAATCTCCAGGCTGCTCCGTGGATGCTCTAGATAACCGCCAAACAAGTTTAAATTCCTTCAAGAAGTCCCCCGCGCCTGGTCCATGCCAAATTGTTCCCATCATTCAGCCTTTACTTTCAGCTCAAACTACCACCCCGCGGCAAGCTCAACATGCCTACCTTTGGCAGCCAGGATATCCCTGATCTCAGCGGCCAAGTCATAATCGTGACAGGAGGCAACGCCGGTCTTGGTTATGAGACTATCCGCCAGCTCAGTCACCACAACCCAGAGACCATCTATCTCGCAGCTCGATCCCAATCCAAGGCCGAAAAAGCCATCGCAGACCTCAACGAGAGCAACACAAAGTTCACCAATATCCGTTTCTTAGAATTGGACATTGCATCTTTCGAAAGTATCAAGACAGCAGCAGCAAACTTCCTCCATCAAGAGTTTCGCTTGGACATTCTCGTCAACAACGCCGGGATCATGATGACAAGGGAAGGCCTCACCAAAGACGGATACGAGATCCAATTCGGAACAAACGTGCTAGGCCCAGCCTTGCTCACCCAACTGCTTTTGCCAACCCTACGCAACACTGCGAAATTGAACAACCAGGCCCGCATGGTCATGCTCTCTTCTGCCGCCCACGCCCGGGCCCCGAAAACCGTTTACGATTTCGATGAGCTTCGAACGACTGCACCCAACAGACATACCACTGAGCGATACACAGCTTCTAAACTCGCCAATATCCATTACGCTAAAGCCTTGGCCGAGAGGGAGACAGGTGTCAAGATCATCCCAGTCCATCCTGGCATGGTATCGACAAACCTCCACCATGCCTCGACGGGTACCTTTCTCAAACCATTTCTCCATGCAGCGATTTACTTAGCTGCAACGCCGGTGGAGAAAGGTGCCTTGTCTCAAATTTTTGCGGCTGTAAGCCCCGAGGCAAAACACGGACAGTACTATGGGCCTATCGGTAAGGCCGAAACGGGCTCTGGACTTGCTCAGAGTCGTGATCTTCAGGAAAAACTGTTCAAGTGGGTCCAGGGTGAGATTTCAGGGCATGTTGAGAGCATTTTGTAGGATTGAGTCCACTCTTGTAATGGATTCCTGTTAATATTAATGTACTTGCATTTCTTTTTTGGCTTCGATTAGGGGGGGGGCCGGGATTCTTATCAATTGAACAATATTCGCTCACACTTGACGAGAATAGGCCGAAGAATAGTAATCATACCTCCAATGCGTTATTTGGCCAAAAGTTCATAGATGGTCAGTAAACAGTTGAAAATCGCTCATCCAAATGTACGTTCGGGAGTGGCCAACATCTGGGTGTTTCGACATTGCGATTGGCCAGCCGGGAGTCATCCAGTTAATAAAACATTTTCGCGGCCCATTGATGCCCCACAGCTGTTTGTCCCGGGACGAGCGTTTCCTATTGGCGGAGAGAGCGTCATCCAAGTGCATGATGTGTCGATCTCTACGGTATAAGGTACAATTCGGAACCAATATAACAGGCCACGCCCTACTTTCATTATGTGAGGTTAAAACAAAGAGACACTCGCAAAGAAACAATGGTGTCCATTGATGAGGTCCGAAAGAGCAATTCTCAGATTACTAGTCTCTATGGTACCAACTTGGTTGCCGTTTTTGGTGAGTTCCCCCAGTTGGTGTGTATTGCACATTTTCCCGAGCACTGGCAGTCCTGGCAAGACTTTGAGGCTAATAGTAATCCCTGGAAATTTCGCAGTCGGTGGAACTAGCGGAATTGGAGAAACCACAGCCCGCGCATTTATCTGCAATACAAAAGCCTCCCGGGTCTACTTGATTGGGCGAGATCAGGAGAGGGCTTCACGAATCATCGAAGAACTTCAGCAACTGGAGCCGAGCGCCACAGTTAACTTTATCGCAACTGATGTCTCGCTACTACGGGAGGTGGACAGGGCTTGCCATGAAATTCAGCGTCAGGAAGATCTGGTAAATATCTTGTTTCTGAGTCCAGGAGTGGGAACCGCTACGGGGCGAGATGGTGAGAATCAACTAACATCAACAAAATGAAGCCTAAGTTTTGCCTCTCACTGACACAAATCATAACAGAAACCGACGAAGGACTGGACAAAAAGCTGAATCTCCATTACTACTCCCGAATGAGGTTTATTGCCAATCTACTGCCCCAATTGACTCCTGCGAATGCAAAAGGAGAGAAAACAGTCCCTTCGAGATCACGTCTCTCACGCGTGATCTCGGTACTGGAAGCAGGCGGCGAGGCCTCGATCGATTTTGACGATCTTTCTCTAAAGACAAATTATTCGCTACGCAATTGCGCGAAACATGCGATCACCATGAATTCCCTCTCGATGGAATACCTCGCCGCCTCATTCCCGCGAACCGCTTTCATCCATTCCTTTCCGGGCATCGTTCGAACACGCCTAGGGCGCGACTTTGGCACCTTTACCACACTGGGACTCAATGCTTTGCTGTTGCTGGCTAAGCCGTGGGAAATACCGCTGGCAGAAAGTGGAGAGAGACATCTTTACGCGGCCACTTGCCCGTTGTTTTCTCCTAGGAATGGTAATAAGCTTCTCGATCTGGCGGAAGGGTCGGATGGGAATCTTGGCAGTGGATTTTATCGGCTGGCGTCGGACGGATCGACGTATAAGTCAAGCAAGGTGATGCAGCGGTATCGGGAATACGGGAGTACAAGCCAGATATGGGATCATACTCGGGGGGTCTTTGCAAAGGTCCTCGTAGAGAAAAGCTGCTAAGCCCCGATAAGAGGTTCGGAGCATGGGATAGCCAATGTAGAAGGCCATAAATGGTTTCCCTATACCAAACGTGAAGCTGTCTGGTTATAATTCTTTCCCCATAACTCGATCTGTAAGGTAGCGAGAAGCAAGCGTGTGGGTGGTCACGGTGAAGTTCGTACGCCGTTCCTCTAGCATTCAGGTCGTGCTAGACGCATGTCGATGCTTTCCGGATTCCGACATCGGTTTTCCCAGTGGAAAGAATAGATACCGAGCGCTCATGCTTTGGAGCGATTGGAATATGCGGCTCGCCATCGCTCAACACATTTCATCGATCTCACAGACGCCCATTTCCACTCCACGCAGAATATCCGGCGACGCCGGCAACCTCGTTGAGAGCATGTTGAAATTGAGTCTCTTCATGCCCCGTTTCATTCGCCAATGATTTGTCGAAGATAGAAGTTCCTCGCATCCCTTGACAACCCAAAACCACTTGCGAAGAAAAGACTCAGATACCTCCCAATTCTGCGGTAACCAAGGATCTCCCCAAACCAGCATACCAGCATCACCAACACCGGGGTCCATTACATCGCCGCAAAGATCGCAGTCATTGAAAGTCCCATCTGCCTGTATGAGATTTTCTCGCATTCGCGGAAATGGGAAACAATCCAACCAGGGGTGATGAGGGGTATCGCGCTGTATGGCAGTGGGACAGAGGCTGGCTGGAAGAACCCGATCCTTCAAATTCAAGTCACATCCTGGGGAATTGAAGGGGGAGAGGACGTCGTCTTCCATGTCTCGGGTGGACAGGCCCAAGGTCTTACTATTATCTAGAATAGCACGCAGAATATTGAGCTTTGAGAGGGTGAGTAAGTGATCTAGGCAGGGGTTTCCGCTGTAATATCTTTCATAGGCCGAGGCGTGAAAAGTTGTCATCATCGCGATTGCCGTGGGGAGAGTAGTTGATTGACAGAACCCTGGCCATTCAGTACTACTAGCAGTGCCTTTTTCTGGACGTGGAAGAATCAAGACCGGGCGATGATTCCTTTTATCTGCTTTAGCCCTCCGGGAGATAGCTAACTCCTGATCTCGGCGGATTTTCCGGGCTCCTAGAATAAGACAAGAATATTAGTACAAAGATATTCGATATTTCAAAAATGAGAAAACAGGTTGACCTGCGTTCAGGTTATGAAGATCACCTTACGTTGCGCGCGTTGATTCAATCTATTCTGCAGCTTCTTTCTCTCCACACGATCGGTGATTCCGGTCCAGTCCTCACCCGGCCGACGAATTGACACCTGCAAACGTGTTGGGTGAAACTCGACTGCCTCGCGCACTGTCGGCAAGGTGTCGGAAGATGTGTCTTTCATGCTGGCGTTTTCGCTTAAATGGCGACAGTTCCTTCGACCCAGGAGCGCGATGCGTAGAAGGACTTGATGTGGGCAATCGGGCAGAATGCGCAATCGGCCAAGCACCCACCGTTTTGCCACTTCACCTTACTTGGGCATCTCCCCGAAACCTAAGTTTGGTATCATTGAATATCGTTGCCCCAACCATATTTTGATCCATATCCAGTTTTTATTAAAGACATAACTTGAATAGTCATGCTAGTCATACTGGTAGCATAGTATTCAATACATATCCTATGATGTTGCTTTGAACTTAGTAGGTACATTATACTACGCAATGATGGATGACGATCCTCAACCAATTGGAAATCTATACGAAACCTTCAACTTGGACTTGAAGCAAAAATTTCTTACAGCCTTGGAAGTAATGACCCAGCAGATATATTGATATTGGGTATAGAATAATGGTATCGTATATGAGCTGATATGCACAAAAGTATCGCCTAGAAACCTCCTCATCCCTCCCACGAAATCACTGCCTCAAGTCCACCCCAATACTAGCCAAATACTTACACCTCTCCCTCTGCGCAGCCGGCACACTCTCCATAGCCGTCTCATTCGTCCTAACAAAGATCCGCCTATAGTTCCCCCCAAGTCCCCCACTCCGGCGACCCTGGAAGCCGGTACGTATTCGGATTCAAATCGCGCACAAAACTCGTCCAATAGCCCTGCATCAGCGGGACAATGGGCGCATTGCTCGTATAATACGAGTCCGGCGGAACACCGCTCACATAATCGGGTCCCCAGATCGCATTCACCTCGACGGTGTGCGTTGTTCCTTCGCCGATTTCTTCGAAATGCGGGTCTTGCACGGCGAAGTGGTAGTTCCAGCTATTAACGCCTGCAGCTGCGTAGACGGAGCTCATCTCGATGCCCGGGCATATGTAGCGGATTTCGCCGTAGGCGGAGGCTGTGGGGGGGCCAGTAGGCGCCTGAGCCGGGGTATGTTTTTGTTTGGTTGGGCGTTAGGTATATGCTATTCACTTTGGCCATTTGGGACGCTGATATACTTGGGAATTGGTCCTTGATGAAGGTATCGGCCGCAGCGAGGGTGGAAGTACTCTTCGGAACAAAGATGGTGCCTTCGTCCGTGTCGTCGCCGAAGATGACGGGGACTTTGATGAATTTCCCCTTGCGGAAGAGAGTGAGCGTGTGGTCTTGGACTAGGTCGCCGTCTATGGTTGGGCTGTAGAGGTATAAGGGTTTGTTTGTGCCGCCGGGCAGTGGAGTGCCGATGTTTTGGTTTTGGAGAGTCTTTATGTCTAGGCTGCGGAGGCAGGCGAGTGTGTCGTCTTGATTGGTACACCCTGTGCGGGAGACAAGGTTGTCGTAGGCGAATTGGCTTTCGGAGACGTCTAGCATTGTTCCGAAACTTTGGGATTCAGCTGCTGCGCCGATGAAGAGGCTGTCGTTTCGGCCGCCGTAGGCGGATAGAAGGAGGGTTACGGATGCGCCGCCGGCGCTGTCACCGCCGATGACGATGCGGTTTGGGTCTCCTCCGAACTGATTGAGTCAAGTTAGTGAGTGTAAGGAATGAAGCATGGAAGCTGTTATGCTTACATTGCGGATATACTTCTTCACCCACTTCAGAGCTTTAATCTGATCTTTTAGACCATTGTTGAGACTACCTCCGCTCTCCACTTCGTCACTGGCGAGAAAGCCGTAAGGACCCACGCGATAATTGAATGTGACAACAATCATATTCCGGCCGGAGGCTTGTACCAGGCCCGATCCATTATAGTTTGCATTGGAGAGGTCAGCAAATCCTCCACCTTGAATGAAGAAGTATACAGGCAGCGTGCCGTTTGATCTAATTGACTTCGTAGGCGCATAAACATCTAGAAAGAGACAATCTTCGGACCTCTGCTTTGGAACTGGAGTGTTTAGACTGCTTGCGACGGGGATACAGAGAAGTCCATGCTGGAGGAGTCGTCAGTTTGGGTCAATATAAAAGAGTCGTTTGTATTCTATGCTCCGCTCCATAGAGGTGTCTCCGAACATCACATACATTGGTTGCGTTCTGAACCCCTTGCTGAGTTGTCGGATCTTCAGGAGCAGCAAACCGTAAATCCCCAATTGGAGGAGCGGCGAAGCGCATTCCTAACCACTGCGAGACACCATTTGGCAATGAACGTCCTCGGTAGCTAGCATAGTCTAGGTTGACGACCGGGGACTGTGCGACAGTCAAGGAAAGGCAAAAGAAAAGGTAGAAGAGCTCCATGACGAAGTCAATTGCAGTTTTAAGGAGCTGGAAACGGCAGCATAGCCAGGTAATAAAGGAAGAACGGAGAGTAGAAGAAGGGCCGAAATCAGCAGACAGGGAGCGAAGCAGGGTCAAGGCGAGACCTAAGGCCTCGCCGAACAAAGGAGAGACCATCTGGACCGGGACCTCAAGGGACAACACCCGAGAGAACAAATTAAATTCCCGGATTCTCTCCCCTTGCGTGGAGGGGAGTGCAGGGGAGTTCTGGGCAGGGAGGAGAAAACAAGCAAACAAGCGGGAGGAGCAAGCCACAGCTGACCGCAGCAAGTACCGCTAGCTACCACAGCTCGGGCCCACCTTAAATTTGTTCCCCGCAAAAAGTCCCCCCAAAATCCAGCGCTTTTCTCATTGCGGTATATCTTGCATCTTACAACCATGTCGCCCAATCATGGAGACACCGATGAGGGGGATGAGGACGATTACATGTCAATGGTGATCGAAGAGCCGACGCATAAGGAAACTTTCACCCAACGAAAGCGTCGGGAACAACGTGAAGTGAGTACTAGCTCTCCCCTCCCCTCGCCTGTCTCCCCTCCTCCCCTCCCTGTTCTCGCCCGCGCCTGCATGACAATCACCGCTGACCTCGTCACTTCTCAATCAAGGCAGAAGCCCGCGGAAAAGTCCCCTCCAAAGCCGAACGAGCCGCCGAAGAAGCAGCGCGCCGCGAAGAAGCCCTATCAAAAAGCACCCTCGAACCAACGAACAAGGGCTTCAAAATGATGGCGAAGCTAGGCTTCAAGCCGGGCCAATCCCTTGGCAAACGCGACGAGGCAGGTGACGCGAACAAAGAAGACGACAAGCACCCCAAGAACGCAGCCACCACCGAACCCCTGAATCTTATTTTCAAGGAAAACCGCGGCGGCATCGGCATGGACGAGCAAAAGAAGCGCAAGATCCGCGAGCAGGCGGAAGAAGCTACGAAAAAAAATTAAACGCGACGAAGGCGACTATCGCGATCGGGTCCGCGAGGAGCGGGAATTGAAGCGTACAGAGGCGCAAGTACGAGCGGCGCAGAAAGTTGCTGAGAGGCTGGATACCGAGGAAGAGAACGGCACTAGTGCTGGTGCTACTGCTGCACCTGCATCGCAGAACTCAGACACACAGACGCAGCCCAAGGCAAACGACCAGGATGATGGTGTGACTGGTGCTGATGACCCGGACGCTAAAACCAACGCCAATGCCGATCCGCCAAGCACGGAGCCCAAAATACAAAAGCACAAACCAACCGCCCAGATCAATGTCTTATATCGCGGTCTCGTGCGCGAGCGCGAGAACCACGAGCGCGACAAACAAGCCCGTCACGCGCTACACACCTCACTCCCCTCATCATTCTTCCCAAAACAGCGCCTCCCCACCTTTGACGCATCGGAACTGGAGCGAGAGGACGGACAGGCCCTTGGCACCCGACTCGGACTCGATTTCGAGCCTTACACCGCGGCCGTGGAGCAGGAACTTGAAGAGGAAGATCCTGAACTTGAGGCTTTCAATGAGCTTCCCCCTTCGGAGCGACTGCATAAGTTGGTGCTCTATCTGCGGGAAACGTACCGGTATTGCTTTTGGTGTAAGTATCGGTATGAGCGCGATGATGAGTTGGAGGGCTGTCCTGGTCTGACGGAGGAGGATCACGATTAAGTCTAATCCGGTCTGGTCTATTTGGACTGGCGAGTCTGGCGTGCACGCAGTGGTTTGTTTGGCCTTGTATGTATTCGCCTCGCTTCACTTCGCTCCTCTACGCTACGCTTTACGAGTCTTCTTTTTTAAAATCATCATGACGAAATCATACCATGAATAACTGAATATACAAGTCTCAAGATATCCATTTGCTTTCCGCAGAGACATAACATAAAAAAATGATCAATATCAATATGCCCGACAACCTTCCTCCGCGTTTAATCCTAGTATACACAAAAACATGTTCCCTGGTATCATAAAACAGAAGAGAGCAAAAAAAAAAAAGAACAGTAAAAAGAAACAGAATCCAGTCCACCACCACTAGTATACAGACAATCCCACGTCCTCGTGGGAAAACAAAATCAGTACCGATTCTCTGTAGAACCTTTCACACAAAAACTCCTTATTCCATCGTCTTTAAGAACACCTTTAAATCCCTCCCCCTCGTCTTCTGCAACCCGCGATAACACCCCTCGCAGACCCTCAACGAACAAAACACACACCGGTGACGAATCTCCTGGTCTTTCTTATGGCACGTCATGCATGGAACAGGGCACCACACATTCTGCGCAATGGGCATGTTCCGATGTTCCTGGAAGCAGGCGAAGTGGACTTTGTTCAGTGGTGCGGCGGGGATGTCGACGACCTCGTGCAGAGCTGGTGGATGGGCTGGGCCCGGTGGGGCGGCTTCGATGGTGGACATTTCTTCTTCTAGAGGGGTACTTGCGCCATCCGGGGTTGGGATGAAGTCTTCCAGTGGTGTTAGGGCGTCGGTTTCTTCGTCTGCTTCTGCGTCTGTCGTTGGCGGGGGTGGGGAGAGAGTGACTGGTGGTGGGGTTGGTGGGAGGCGTTGCTGAACTGGTGGTTGTTGCGACTGTTTGGGGAGATATTGAGATGGAGCTGGTGCTGTCGGTTCTGGAGATCCAGTGCTTTGGGGTCCGACTGGGGGAGTTGGTGGGAGTTGCTGCTGCGCTTGTCGGACCGGTGCCGGTTGCGGCTTGGACAGCTGAGGCGAAGCAGAAGAAGTAGGCTCCGCGTGTCGTAGACCCTGATGAGAATTTGAAGCTTTGATAGTAGCAGGCGACGCAGCTTCCTGCTCTGGCTGGGGCGAAGTTGGAATTTGAGTAGTGACAGTCGTAGTCGAAGCAGCTTGGCGCAGACCTAGAGACGGAGTCGGCGGCAAGGGCTGATCTTTATTTGGCGGGGAAGATGGAGTGATTGGAGACGAAGCCTGTCGAATACCTTGACCCTGAGATGTGGCAGAGGTAGGAGAAGTCTCGTTAGGACGACCTTTAGTGCTTCCGACAGCTCGGCGCGGAGGGACTTTGGAAGTAATAGTCGGCCGCGGCGGGAGTTCCTTCTTGGGACCCTGAGTCTGAGGAGGCACTGGTAGTTGCTTTGTTGGAGGAGGAGCAGGTGCCGGTGCAGGGAAGCCAGAGGAGGGAACTGGCAGGGGAGGAGCGGGTTTCTCTTCCGGAGTAGGGGCGTCGTTGGACTTTGTTCTGTGGAAAGAAAATTGCGATACTGAAGCGGCAGTCCCGGCTTTCATAGCCGTGAGAGATGGGACGCGCAAACCGCGGGGGCGTTTTTCGGAATCGAAGATGGCCATAATGAGCGGCGCAAATAGCCAATGGATTGGTAGGAAAGGTCAAGAGAGCGCAGACCAGTGGGAAGGCGGATAAAAATGAGGGTACCCTAGGCTGCCCTATACTCCGTAGAAGGCGGGCTGAGGGTTTATCGCGGGCGCCACAGCTAGATAAGACGACGATCTAACGATCTGGCGATGGTATGGATCCACGCAGGATGGAAGGATACGAATAAATTTGTGAGAGGTCAGATTGGAATAGAAAATGAAATGAGGGGAGAACTGAAGAAAAGTGAGAGAAAAGAAGAGAGCCCCCCCCCTCTCTCCGGTGTAATCTTAATTCGGGGAACGCAGCAAGTTTTCGTTCGCAGTACCTGAACCAAAGAACCCACTCTCGGATCCAAACTTCTCTAGTCTCACGACCGGATGCCATCGTACTCGGTACTTTGTCTCATACCCAATGATGCATTCATGTAAAATCGGCCGATCCCAGCTCATGGAATCTGACTGGGAATTTGACTTCTCATCATCCCGCCGCGATCAGCCATTGGGCCGGAAGGGGCAATTTGATTGATACGATGCGATGCGGTGGGGTTTCACCTGGCTACTGGCTGCCTCCTTCTCTTATTTAATCTATTTCATCTCTTTCATCGTGTTTCATCTATCCAAGGCCCAGTGGGGGCGATTGGACCCATCAGAAAATTGGCTTGGGAGGAGCGCTAGTGCAAATAGATCGGATAGCGTCCTCCCCCCTGAAACTGAAACCATCCTAGGACCATTGGCGGCCAACCGGGACTTCTGCTCGCTTTATCCTCCGGCATTCCACAGGTGCCCAATGACGCCAATCTCATTGGAGATCTGCTTCTTAGTACGGACTTGCCCGAGAATATCATATCTGATTTCGTCATTGTCTCGTTACTGCTTTTTGAGCTGGAGTTGGTACTCCTTCTACTTTCTACTAAGTATACCGTATAGTGTTACTTTGCAAGCAAGCATTATGTGGAGTACTCCGTACTTCACTGATATACAAATGGCCTCCATTCAACCTATCTATCTTCACTAACAGGCATATACGATCGGCGTTCCCGTGCCGCCTAGTTCATCCAAGTTAGCTGCTAGCCAGCGCAGACGCAGATCAAAAGGCAACCGTTCTTACCTCGAGATATCGCTCAATCCAAGGCTTGCAGAGGGCCCAAGCGAGCAACCCACCAGTCGCAAAGATGAAGATAAAAACAACCGCTTCGTCCTTTCGCGAATCGCGCTCTAGACACATTCAATAGTTAGTCAACTAGCTTCTTCGCAATGCATTTCGCATCTCAACCTCTGCCGATCATTCACTTCGGTACACGGAGTACGGAGTACACCGAACAAGGCAAATAGGCAGAGACTGCGAAGCGATTCGACTCGATTGCACGCGGGGCCAACAATTCACTCACGGAAACATGTAGTAACAACATCATCCTCCTTGGCACCCTTACACGTGGGCAATTCGTAATCGAGGCAGAATTTGCGATTGCAGTCGTTGCAGTTGAGTTGTCGGTATCCGTTCGCTCGTTTGGATAGATCGTGGTCGCCCGGGAGGTCTGTTTGTTGCTCGGACCCGGAGCTGGACCCAGGTACGAAGCTGCTGTCGGTGTCGAGTGCGCTGTCAAATGCGCGCTTGTACAGATTCACCACACTGTCGAGAGGGTCGGAGCCGGATTTCGCGGGGTCAAGGGGGATAATCGTGCTGTTGGAGAAACATGTGCATTTGCAGAAAGATGTCGGTGCTAGATACACAAGAAAGGTTTCTTGTTAGTAGGGTGTCTTCAGGTTTTTGTTCACGGGCATTTAAGGTCTGCGATCGCTGGGGGCCAGCCCCGGCGCGAGTCTCTGCACCTTGGGGTTTCGACTTACTCGATGCTGCTGTGAATGATGTGAGGGAGAGAAGCGCAAGAAGCAGAAGCAGCCAGTGCATTCTGCCACTTTGCGCACTCTGTAGGGGCTGCATCGCGATTATGGTTTTAAGAGATGACGCCAGCTTCGGTCGGTCTCGAGGCGGCTCCCCGTATCGCAGCTATCAGTGAACACGTGACCTTTAGATGATCGACCACCCTGAAGTCGGCTCCGAAGTATAACGACAGCTCTATTTCAAACCAGTGTCTAGATTACACATATGACAATTAATATCGATCTTGTAGTAGAACTAGGTAATGTACCATTATATAGATTATGCTCTATGTACTGTACAACACGGCAATCGCTCCTGGAAATGCTTTTGCTTTTGCTTTTGCTTTATGAATCCCGATATCAAGACTTGCCCTTGATACCCTTCTTACGGTTCTCTCTCTGTCGCTGTTCCTTGGCAGCATCGCGCCGCCTCTTCTTCCAAGCACGATTGTTGTCACCGCGATTCTCCCAGAACCACTTGGTGAACTCGGTTTCTTCCTTGGTATCAAGCTTTGTGCTTCGGGATTTGGAAACGGGAGTATCGATGGCGGCATCGTCTTCCATCTCGTCATCCTCTTCCTCCTCCCAATTCATGCGCCGATTGATCAGGCTGGTGTCAGGGGTGGGAGCTGCGCTTCGAAGGCCACGGTCTTGAAGGTCTCGCTTCGTGAATGGCGTAAATGGTGTTTGCGGTTCGGCTGAGGCCTCGTCCTCTGACTCGATGTCGCCGCCGCCGAAAAAGCTGAAGCCAGCGTTCTTGTCTTCCGCAGGCATATCCTCGGAGTCAGTTGGGGCTGTTCGCTTGAAAAGAGCCTCCAGAGGGTGGACTTCGGTAGGTGTAGGTTCCTCTGCAACTGCTTCTTCTTTGCTTGCGGGTTTCGACTCCGACTTCGAGTACGACTCGGGCTCCGGCTCTGAGTCTGAATCGTCCGAGGTGGGTGGCGTGGCCTTGGCAGCTTTAGTCTCCTTTGCGGGTTCTTCGTCCTTGGAGGCCTCCTCTATGATGGACTCGTCAGACGAGTCATCGGATGAATCATCAGAAGAGTCGTTGTCGCTTTCGCTTTCGCCTTCGGCATCCGAATCCTCGTCAGACGAACCACTGGAAGAAGTCCAATCTTCAGCTTCAATTGGTTCAGGTGAGCTTTCAGGTTTGCTCTTCTTGGCCTTCTTTGGTGCTTTCTCCTTGGTTCCAGGGACTTGACCCGGGCGATAATTGTCCTTGCGACTCTTTTTACTCGCAGCTTCCTTCACAGCCCCTGAAGCATCCACCCATCCCTTCTCCTCATCGAATGCAGTGGAGGGCTTGGTCTCTTCTCCACTGGACCGCAAGAAACTCGGTTGCGTATATGTCTTCTCAAACTCGTGAATGACGGTTTCCCGAGAAGAAGACTTCTTCTTCTTGGCCTTCTTGTCGTCGGCTTCGTTGGCGACGCGGTTCGGCGGAAGGGTTGTTCGGAACAGAAGCTCTGACTTGTCGGTATATTTGGACTTGGGCTGGGGCTTTTCCTTCTTGTCGTCCTTGCTTCGCTTCTTGTCGGACGATCGATGTTTTTCCTTCTTGGAAGATTCCGTCCAGCCTCGCTTCACTTTACGGCCTTCGGCAAGTTCATAGCCCTCGATCACGCCATCTTCCGGCTCGGACTTTTTTGGTTTTTTCTTCTCCGCAGGTGCGTCGGCCTCTTCCTCGTTCCTTTGTCTTTTGGATGGACGGGCAGTCTCGATCTTGAATTTTTTGCCCTTGAGAATCTTGCCGTTCAGCTTCTTTTGGATTTTTTCGGCGTCCATGGTCGGCAAGGTGATATATCCGTAGTCGTTTTCGGGGAATGTGGGAATATGGTGGAAGGAAATGTCGGTGGCAGAGGGTCGGACTGATGGGGGCAGGACCGAGGGGAGGAGATCGGGATTGAGAGGAGTGATATGGAGTCTAGTAGTTGGTGTTGGCTCAACCATGGCAGAGAGGAATCAGATTCTCCCAGAATTTATAGAAGGGGGAGATCCGACTGTTTGTAGCACATGTTCTATATCATGGACTTTTTTTTTTCCTTTGGGACCTCCGCAGAGCGAGAGATACTGCCACCGCCTGCCGGAATGGCTGACAAACGGCAGTCACGGGAGTCATGGGCAGCTGCAGTCCCAACGGAGTTTAGCGGAAGTCAGCACTAAGACCAACACTAACACTAACAGTACGGAGTAGTAACTAGTACTTCTGAAGCATTGGCCCTATGTACGGAGTAACTAGTTGCTCATTTCCCATGTACTCCGTAGCCGGTACTCCGTGATACCTTTACTATTGTTCCCCTCTGCCACAATAGCTCCCCTAGATCAACAACAATGCATGTCATACATCATTCTACACTGCCCTAGATAGGTACTCCATACTCCGTACTATACTGAGTAGCTGCAGCTCATCAGGTCTCGGCTGATGTAATCGAGTAAATGATCTGGTGATGACGAGAGACCAGCACACGACAACCTACATAATATTGAGATAGAGCCAGACCCCGGCCTGTTTCTCGCCTTCTTTACTCCGTAGAGAACAACTAAGGGTCAGAGACACGGGCTCTCAACTTATCCGCCACTTCCGATCCTGGCAGATCTGGTCTCTTTTACTTTTACGTACCCGATTTAGTTTATCCCCATCCCCATTCCCATTCCCATTCCCGTTATCCTTGTCTCCCACTCTTCCCAAGGGTTCCCCAGATCCCATCCCCCGCTTCCCAAACCCTCTTTCCTTCCTCCACCCCTTCCCCTCCCCAACCTATCCGATGTTTCCCCTGCATTTATGCGGTGTTTCTCTTTAGCCTGATCAACATCCCCGCTCCCTCCCCCCCCCAATATCAAAGTATCCACCTTGACCCTCCCCCTTGGGGGCCCTTTTTCTCTCCGCTCCGATCGGAGTTACGCCGCCGCGTGTGCTCTGGGACCTGACGTCGGTTCCAACCCCTCCTTTCATCAACCATCCCATATCGCCATGGGAAACTCCCAAACCAAGGAGTCGCGATCCTCCACACCGCGCCATCGGAGGGAACAATGGTCATCGGGCGCTTCCGATGCCCCCGGCCGTGCTCCATACCAGGGACCTCGGTCGGGCAGAAGCAGTCGTCCTGACTTGTCCCTGCTCGGTATCGGCAGTAGCAGCCATGATCGTGACGTGGCGACCCTCGAGCATCGACGAGAGACCAAACAGGAGCGTGAAGCACGTCGCTTGGAGAAGGAGCGCGTGGCTCGTGTCAAAGAAAGGGAACGCAGCATGAGAGACGAACATGTCGATGGCGGATATCTAGTCACACAGGGTGTCTATGTGGGAACCGAGGACTTCAATAAGGCAGTGGTTCGGCAGTTGATGGTGAGCTTCCGGGGAATCCCCCTCAATCCGCATATGAATTGTGATTCTGACAATCCCGGTCTTAGATCGAGCGCCGACTCGCTCCCTTCTGGAGAGGCTTGAACGACTTCTCTGAATCATGGGCCGAGCATCAGCTAATGGCCGCAGCTCGGGGGATGCCTATCCCTCCAGCGGATGAGATTCCTCCCGAGCTAGAATATACACCTCCCAAGGCGGCCGAGAGGAAAGAGCGGGTTGATATGGCTAGCATCCAACATCTCACCGTTCCCATCACATCCCGCTCGCAGTCCGACAATTCAGACATCTCCCAAACTTCGAATCCTGCCCAATCGCTACCATCGGCCGTATCTCCGATTGCGTCAGGAACATCAGCATCACCTCTCTTCCGCACACGCGCAAAGACTCTAGCAGCTCTCACCACATCGAAACATGGCTCGCAGACCGATCTCACTCCCCGGGAACTACAGCTTCCACGAGATCTTTTCGTCAATGGTCAACCGATCGAAGTCAACCTGTACAAGGACGCAAGCGAATGCCCGATTTGCTTTCTATACTACCCACCTTATTTGAACCGAACGCGATGCTGCGACCAACCCATTTGTTCCGAATGTTTTGTCCAAATTAAGCGGCCGGACCCCCCATATCCCGGAACATGGAGAGCCGGACTCAAACGCCCCCGACGCGGCCAATGACAGTCAAGGAACCGAGCAAGAAGATGGGCAACTTGTCTCTGAGCCCTCTGCCTGCCCCTTCTGTGTTCAGCCAGAATTTGGTGTGACTTACGCTTCGCCTTCATTCCGGCGAGGGCTGACCTATGCAGCCGACGCCAGTGCCCGCCCTTCTCCCAATATCATCTCTCCAGTATCCTCTACCTCTTCCCTCGCATCTGCGACCCTTGCTCCAATACCTGGTCGCCGTCGTGCAACTTCATTATCAACTACGGATCCCACTGTAGTCACAACAGATAGAATCCGTCCAGATTGGGCCCAGAAATTGGCCAATGCTCGAGCACACGCCGCACGTCGTTCTGCGGCTGCAACTGCACTCCATACCGCAGCCTATTTGATGAATTCGGGTTCGGGTAGCGACTCCCGCGGTCTTGGTCTCGGACGAAGGGGTCTTCGAAGAGCCACCCACGGGGACTCCGGCCGGTCCGGATCCCCCGCTCTCAATGCGCTGGCGTTTTTGACTGAGCGACAAGATCGAACACCTCGAGCTCCAGCTCCGGCTCCGGGCCCCGATACCGATTCCAACGAAGAAGGAGCAGGAAATATCGCACCCCCCCCGTGACAGCTCAAGGCGCACCCGAATCGATGATCTTGAAGAAATGATGATGATGGAGGCGATTCGGCTCAGCTTGGCAAGTGAAGAAGATCGACGGAAAAGGGATGAAAAGGAGGTCAGGAAGGAAGCTAAAAGGAGAGAGAAGGAGGCCAAGAAGGCTGATAAGGTGGCTCGTAAGGCCGGCTTATACAGTAACAATACCAGCACTAATGCCAGCAGTGCGGCATTACAAGTCCCTGGAGCCGGAGAGACTTCCCTTGGAAGAGTTGCCAGCAGCTCGTCGTCAACTGGAGAAGAGCCATCCACCACAACAGGCAAGGGCAAGGGCGTTGAAAGGGGGCCTACCTCGGCATCTGACGAGCAAGACGCAACAGTCTCTTCGAGCGATCTATTAGGCACACCTGAGCCATCCAAACAGTCTCATCTCCGACACGTTTCAAGTGCAGCTTCGTCGGTCTCATCTCTCATGGAAACCACTCCAGATGACCGGACCCCTGGCCATGGTACGGCCGATGGTAGCAACACATCTTTGGAACCCATGTTCAACTTCCGCAGTCTAGCCGCTGTCATTGGTGACGAGGAGAAGGGTAATGAGTCGGAGCATGTGGAAGATGCTTCTCACTATCACGGAGAGGGTTCTTCAAGCGCGAACCCCTCATTGCACCAACCCTCGTCCGATACCGGAAACGTTGAGCCGATCGAGCCAACCACTGTTCCCAATCCTCCAGTGGAAGACAAAGAAAAAGAAGGCTCGAAAGATATTTCACCCAAGGAGTTGGAGACCCGCTCGGTTGAAATTACAAACACCCCCACGAACACAGAGACCACTTCATAAAGTTGTACCTGTGCCCTTTCATTTTACCTGTCTCATATTTTCATTTTTCCCTCTCGCTCTCTCAGTTCTTTTTCCTTGGTTGTAGGTTTGTGTGAGTGACACAATGGTCGCATGAAGTCAAATCGATTAGCTGGCGCAGTTGGAAACTGGTAGTGGTTCTCTAGCATTTCTTTTTCTTTTTATTTCGTCTCTTGTCTGCCCGGGGTGTGGTTTGGAGGGTTTTATTTTCTTCTTGTTCTTTCCATTCAGTCTGAGTGTCGGGACTATTCTGTCATCCATAGCATCCAATTTTCAGCCCCGAAATCATTATAGAGACTCTTTCTTTTCTTGATTCGACGCTTTTAAGGTTAGGGTTGGATCAACTTCGTTGGCTTTTTTTTTCCTGTGTCAGCATTGTAGTTGAATTGTAAATTGGTACTTCGTACTCTTCTTAAATTTGATGGGTAGCATGAGGTATCGGATTCTGCTCTTGGGTCTTTGGACTACTTTTACAGTTTTCAAGGGGGCTTGCATCCCGCTAATGTACGAGTAGAATCAAGATCCGGAAATTTCCCGGCCACAATGAACCTATCGCGACGCTGATCTTGTGATCTCTTTCCACGGGATCCCGCAAGGTTCTCATTGGACGGTGGGTGAATAAGAAACCCACCAACGGCCGCTAAGTAAGTACAAATGTGGATAAGCGCGGGGAGGGGCTCAAAATAACCTGACCAGGTCTGAGGGGGCCTATTTGTTTAATTTTCGCCCAAAATTCTGCAATTCATTTGGCATGATCTTCAATTCCGCTCTGAATATAATTTGAATCGCAATATAGGAGTTTTTAAGTTATGATAAGGAAATGCATAAAATCCCGGAGGGTGACACCGAAGTATAAAGCCAAGTGGTCCGAGCTCGATGCAACTTCTAAGCTTTTGTGCCTGAGTCGCCACTGGAAGATTCCATCCAAAGCACCACATGACATGACAGATTTTTTTTTCAACTGCATCGACTGATATGAGGGGGGAATTTAATCTTCGGAATAGCCACATCAGTACTAGTGTATACCCTAATATTAAACAATGCCCTTCTTATAGACTAAATTCAGTCCTAAACAAGGGATATTCACCGGACTCGGTCATGGCCCTTATCGCAAGGCCCTAGCGCCGCTCCCGGTCCAAAACAAAGTTGGGTAACAGAACCCGCCGTAGACTTGACTTATACTTGGGTCACTGCCTTGGCCTTCCTACCCCACTTCTGGATTTTCTTGTTCACTCTCTTCACCAACTCCCATCCCTCTGGTTGCACAACACGTCGAAAACCAACCCAAGTTCTCAATTGCTGTTCTACCCGCTCTATTCTTGTGCACCACGACCGGAGGAGTTTGCAAAACAGATTCGACTCGACCTTTGCAAGGGCAGATTGTCGTAAGGATCAAATTGTTTCTACAGGACGATGGTATTAACACCACAGAAAAGATATCATTCCTCCCACGATGGCTTTCCTACCACTCAACTATTCCTGCTCTGTGAGTCCCCCTCTCCTCCCCATACACCCCGCTCCTCCTATCCATCAAGCCAAGCTAAACACTCTTTCCCAGCAATATGTCGCGTGGCCGAGCCAATCGCCCTAACCTCCATCTTCCCCTACTCCTGGGTGATGGTGAAAGACTTCAACATGGCCAGCGGCGCCGAGGCATCGCTCTACGCAGGAATTCTCATCTCTGCCTTCTCGCTCTCCGAGGCCCTGACGGGTATGTTTTGGGGCAGTCTCTCTGACCGGCTGGGCCGGAAGCCGATTCTACTTTCCGGTTGTTTCGGTACGATGCTCTCATTACTGATGGTGGGGTTTGCGCCTAATTTCTGGGTGGCGCTTGCTGGCCGCGCTTTTGGTGGGGCGCTGAATGGCAATATTGGCGTCATTCAGACTATGGTTGGCGAGTTGGTGAAGAGGCCTGAGCATGAGCGTAGGTTTTGATCTAATCCTAGGAGGAAATTTGGGTTAATAGTTGATTGAGGCCATATGCTGACGTTGTTATAGCTAGGGCGTTTGCTGTTATGCCGTTTGTTTGGTCAATTGGGACTATCCTTGGACCTGGTATGTTGCTAATATCCTCGCCAACTATGACAAAAAATGATTGGCATGATACTTATTCTTTTATAATAGCCATTGGAGGTCTACTTGCCAGACCGGCAGACGGGTTTCCCTCTTTATTTCCCGCTGACGGCTTATTCGGCCGTTTTCCATACCTGCTACCCAACCTCGTCTGCTCTGTTCTTCTATTCTTCAGTATCATTGGAGGCTGGATGTTCCTCCAAGAAACCCATCCCGATATGCAGCCCGGCAACACACACCGATTCTTCGAGCACACATCTGCTGAACAGCCCCTACTAGCCACATCCGGCGCAACCGCTAATGCAGGTGTTGATCTCCGAGCTGAATCATACGGTACTTTTAATAAAGTTCACCTGCACGACGATGAGATTTGGAATGTTCGCTCCGATGGCACGGTGCCCGTTTGGAAGAAGCCCCAGAAGCCGAAAGCTTTCACGTGGCGGGTGATCATGCTCGTCATTGCGCTGACCATCTTCACCTACCACTCCATGACATACGACCACCTTTTACCCATCTTCCTACAAGACAAGGGCCCAGAAGCCCCAATTGCTATCTCTTCTCACTCCCCCTTCAATATTCCCGGTGGCCTGGGCCTTTCAACCCGCACCGTAGGCGTGATTATGTCAACAGACGGCATAATCGCCCTCGTTATCCAAAGTCTCATTTTCCCTGCCCTGGCCGGCTGGCTGGGTATATGGAAACTGTTCGTCGTCGTGACAATCCTGCACCCTATTACCTATCTTATCGTGCCGTTCCTGGTCTTCCTCCCGCAGAACCTCACCTTCATGGGCGTCTATTTTTGCCTAATTGTCCGCAACATTCTGTCCATTATCGACTACCCCGTGCTCCTGATCTTGCTCAAACAAGCCAGTCCCTCGGATTCCGTTCTAGGCAAGATAAATGGTCTGGCTGCGTCTGCCGGAGCGGCTGCCCGTACCGTTGCGCCCCCCGTTGCGGGTTATCTGTACAGCACTGGTGCGGGATTCGGGTGCACGGGTGTGGCTTGGTGGGCGAGCAGCTTAGTCGCTATTCTGGGTGCCGCTCAGCTGTGGTTCATTCAACAGAAGAAGAACTCCACCGCGACCGTCGAGGCTGCGGCTCATTGTCATTATGTGCCTATCCCTGAGCCTCCTAAGGAATCGGTACACATCATTGTGACTGATACCGATATCGCTACGCCGGAAGATGCTTAGCGGTCTCTCTTCCTGCGTAGCGGTTTCGGCTGCATCGGCTTGAATCTGATCTCACTATTCACTGAACATACATCATTCTCCTTTTCAAAAAAAAAAACGGGATGTCTGGTTTACTCAATCTGTTATTCGAGCGTTGATTTGTGCACTCTTATTTTTTTACTAGCCAGATTAGCGATGGGCATTTCGGCGATAGCGATCGCTTCATGGCATTTGTTACTTAGCAACTTAATGGAATTCTTTATGATCAATTACTCCCTGTATACTGTATACTGTATTGCTGCACTGTTAAATTGACCCCACGCCTTCCCACTCGGACGCTATACTTCCCTTCCCAATCGGGGTTAGCTTTGTTTACCTAGCAACGCCTCCACAATCGTCCAGACCCAAACAGAAGAAGACTTTCCTAGCCCATCGCACAGGGTTCTGAATTCTCAGCTCAACACGCACGCCCATCGGCACCATGTCGAATCCTTTATCACCCCTTTCACCCTCCTACCAGAATTCACGAGCCCGGTCTTCTCCCAAGATGGGCTCGTCGCCTTTCGTCACAGAACCCTCGGCCGCAGACGCTATGGTTCCTTCAAGTCCGCTGAAGCAAACCTGGTCCGATCGCAAGACTACACAAAGCCCACGCCCTTCCTACCCGATCGATCTCGACAACGAGAACGAAGAAAACTTCCAGCCTAACGACTTTCACGCGAACAATGACTACCATGACTACCATGACCATGACCATGACCATGACCGCGACGACTTCCGAGAGCCGGATTCAGAACCGGAACCTGCGAGCTCGCCCTTCCGGCCCGATGCCCGCGAAGACACGGTTGATTTCCAAAAATTACACGAATATCAACATCAACAAACGACACCGGCAGCGGCAGTAATGACGCCACGGCATAAATTTCGTCCTGTACAACCGGAGGATCAAGAACCGATGAGTTCTCCCTTCCGACCCGATGCGCAAGACGAAGACGAAAACGAACCCGAGCGCGAAACAGTGGACTTTGACCGATTGCGCAATGCGCACCCTTTATCGCCGGGTCTGGATAAGAGACTTGCGCTCGATGATCCAGCCAGTTCGCCGTTCCGACCTGATGTGCGCGATGGAGATGAGAATGATTCAGTTGACTACCAACAATTGAGAGACGTCGAGCCCTTGTCGCCGGGCCTGGATAAGAAACTCGCGGTGGAGGATCCAGCTAGTTCGCCTTTCCGACCTGATGCGCGCGATGAGACTGTTGATTTTGGGAAATTGCGTGAGATGCAGCGTCTTTCGCCGGATCGGGGAGAACCATTACAACCGGAGAGTTCACCTTTTAGAGCAGATGTGCGGGGAAATGTTGAGATTGATGACTTTGATGAGCAAGAAGAAGAGCTTCGCCCATCTTCACGCGAGTCGATTGGTCGTGTCCAACAATCACCTTCTCCGGCCCCGGCTGGTGCATATGACTCTCCGGTTCAGCTGGACGCGCAAGAAGAAACACAGGTGGACAATATCGAGCGCGAGGAGCTATTTCACGAATCGTCGCAAGAGGAGGTCGAACAGCGCTTGCCAGTTGTGGAACAAAGCTCACCATTGCGACAGGATGTCCATGAGAATTCGAACCAAGCTATTGCCAATTCTGAAGAGCTGCACAAAGTCCCTCGCAAACCAATTGGACGCGTCGAGAACTCCCCTCCGGTTCCAACAGCCACACGCTCCTCGCTATCTAGACAAAGATCCCCCGATATGGCGCTTGAGGTGCAGAAGCTCCGTTCTTCGCGCCCATCACTCCGCACATCGCTTGGGCTCGAAGGGCGGCAATCATTTGCAGCTACGCCTCGTAAGCGATCTTTCGACGAGACACCGCGAGGCCAGGAAGAAGCGCAAGCCCATGAGTCGTGCAAGAAGGGCATGGTTAGCAGGCCTGAAGTACCGGATATTCACGTCGATCTCGATGAAGAATCCAGTGTCATTCATAATGAGAGTCTGTTGTCAATGACAAGCGCTATGCGAGACCAGTCTACGATCGCAAACAGCATGATGGAAGATAGACGCAACGAGGGGATGTCAACGTTTCTCCCAGAGGATGACAACGCTGGTGCGAATGAAAACTCCGCGCTGGGAGATGATTATCCTGACTCGATGGATGAGACTGGCTTAAGTAACTTCTCTGTTTTACCCGACATGACCTCCTTTGCAAAACTCCGAGCCGACTCGCCTCTTAAGTCGATGCGTGGCAGTATCGGACACGGTCAATCTCAGAGAAACGATATGTATCGACAGAGCGCCGGCCCCTCTACCCCGGAACTGCTCGACGATCCTACAACAGGGCGAGTGCCCATCTTGATACCGGATCACCTGCTGGATCGCCCACGCCCCGACATCGACCATCCCGCGATTTGGAGAACTCTCGCGCAGCGCCGAACTTGCTCGATTTTGGCGATTCCGTGAACTTCTTCCCCATCAGTCCGTGCAGCAAGGTGGTCGCTATTCCCCGTCTCGACGCTCGCCGATGAGGCCTATGCGACAGTCTATCCGATCTCCGTCTAAGTTCTCCTCGCTGTTGGACCTAGACTATGAGATGGCACCAGCGCCGACGCCTCGCTCTCTTCCGAGTATCACTCCGCGAGAACTGGAGTCCCTCAAGTCTGGATTTTTGTCGGAAATCTCATCTCTGAAAGCTACCTTGAGCGGCAAAGATGCCGAGGTCGCCAGTTTAAAGACAGCTATTTCAGATGCAGAGCGACGTGTTGGTGAGGCATTGGAGGAAGTCCGTAATGAGGCCGGTCGCAGGGAAGCCCTGGAGATGGAGCAAGCTGAATGGGACCGCCGAGGAAACGAAATGGAAAGTGTCTTGCGTTCAGTTCGGTCTGACCTAGTTGAAGGCGAACGCGAGCGCGAGCGTTTGACCCGGAGAGCCGACGAAGCGGACAAAGGCAAGGAGCAGCTAGAAGGCCGTATTGTGGAACTAGAAAGCCAACTCTCCGCCGCGCGCTCTGCTGTATCTTCAGGATCAAACACCACTTCTAGCTCCCGCCAGGTCTCTCAATCGGCAGAAGCTACTGCTCGGGAAGTGCAGGATGCCGTGGAAAAGGTCGCTCGCGAGCTACACACCCTATACAAGGGTAAGCACGAGACCAAGGTCGCAGCACTGAAAAAGAGCTACGAATCTCGCTGGGAAAAGCGCCTTCGTGAAGTGGAGAAGAAGCTCGCCGCTGCAAATGAAGAACAAAATCGTCTACGTGGTGAACTTGATACTGCTCAAAACGATAACATGGTCGATGCCAACGCCAGCATGATCGCCCGTGAATTCGAGGAGTACGATGCCGAGAAACGGGTCTTTGAGGCTCAGATTGAGGGCCTGCGGCATGAAATAGCTTCTCTGAAAGAAGACAGCGAACGCCTCCGCTCCGATCTCGAATCCGAGCGCGCTGAGAAGGGTGAACTTGTCGCTGCTGTCGACGAATGGCTTGCCATTCAACAGGCTCAGACCCAACCTGAGCCTCCTCAACACCGTGAAGAAATTCGCGAAACTCGCGAGCATTCCGTCTCCTCGGCCGGTGGTTATGGTCATGGGGAAGAATATCTTTCTTCCACTGAGATCCATCCTGCTGCCGACAATACTCGCCGTAGCGTGAGCCGCTCTGGATCAAGCGGTATTCGTCCGCCTGTCACTGGTGAGAAGAGGTCTCGATTCGGGGCGCCGGCTGGCGCTGGCCACTCTCGTGGAAACAGTGGTGGGAAGTCAGGTATTGCGATGTACACCCCTGGTCGGGGTGGAATCATGAGCTCGATTGAGAGGATGGGTCGTGGAGGTGTCTAGTTTGGGTTTTGGTCCAGATGCTGTTCAGGTTGCTTTTGATATTTGAGTATGGATATGAAGGGATTCTTGTTTCGGTTTATGGTTCCTTTTTTTTTCTGGCTCATGTTTCTTTTCTCTTCTTCTTGGTCGTTTCAGTCTTGATTCCCCCCATTCGCCGATGTGATTATCTTTTTCTTTCTGTGTCTACGAAGTCTATGTTTATGTTTATGCTTGTGTCTATGTTTCTACGTGTTATGAAGTCTGAGTCCTGGTTTGAGATTGAGAATGTGAAATAATTCTATTCTTATTGTTTGAATATATCAATTGTCCAGTGAATTCAAGTTTGCTGTGGATGCCTAGGTAGTAGAGCTGCCAGTGTACCAAAATACCAGCCCTGGAGGTCGCCTCCTTGCCGATCAAAACCACCATGATCAGCACTATCCACAGGTATGGTATACATACATACAGAGACCCGATGACGAAACTGACCTCGTGCTCCCTAAAAGATCAACTAGTGTAAACTAATCCACACTAACCTAGTGATCGCCCATGCAAGATGACATTACCAACAGTCACAAGTGAAAGGCAGTGCAGCACAGTGCGGTGTGCAACAGAATAGATGCATGTGATACCGATGCTACCCATCGGAGTCGGAGGATCGGTCTGAACCGAACCGAACCCCGACCGGCGACGCCGGGAATCCAGTCCAGGATCGGAGAATTAATTAAAAGCTAAATTATAGTTAAGGGGGTTCTGAAGAAAGACCCCGGGTGGACCCAAACGTGCCAGTGTAGATGAAAGGAGACTACTAGTAGTTATGTACATAGTCGGTGCGGGACAGAGCTGGATATGTAATATCTTCAAAAACGCATACGTAGGGGGGTAAGATACCAGTAGCTTGGACACTTACACTCGTTAGTCACTTGTGCTACTGTTCTAGAATACTGTGTACGGCATTAAAGGTATAGAAAATCTCAATAAAAGTCAGTTAATTGAGTATAAACCGTTATTCACATGGGCTCATGCTTTTGGGAATCCAAATCCAGATCCATCTATCGATAATATGGACGTTTGTCGTGGTGGTCATCAGAGCGGAAGAAACGAAAAGGGAATAAAAAAGGGCAAGAGGAAATAGAAAATGAAAAGAAATGAAAAGAAATGAAAAGAAATGAAAAGAAAAGAAAAGAAACCCGTCCCAAAACACCAATTGTGCCCTTTCTTTCGAATCTTCAGGCTCCGTATTGCAAACAGTGATTAATAAAAGGGGTAAAAGAAACGTAATATGTCCCCGCTAATTCCCAAAAGCATAAGCATAGCATAAGCATAAGCTGGAGATAAACTTGAATACACTGGCATGAAAGTACAAAACACCGTGACGGCAGCATGTGTTTATTCATCCAGGTTCATCCCAAGATCCGTGTCAAGATCGGCCGTCAGGCCCGGCCGCGCTTGAGCCTCGGCCGAGGTAGCACCCACATGGTGATGATCGGCACGAGACTCGGTCATCGCGAAATCAATTGCTTTGGGATCAGTGTCGAAACCCATCATATTGGCATTATCGATGTGGAAGTCGAAGCCGGATTTTTCCTGTGGCGGGGGCGGGGCGGCGTTCTCTTCTGCGAAGTAGTCGTTGCCCGCGTCTTCGAAGTTGATTAGGGCGTCGAAGTCGTTTTGCGTTACTTCGGCGTCGTTGGCCAGGTCCATCAGCTCGGTGAGGCTGAGGTCAGCATTCAGATCGGGGATCGCGAATGCATCGTGGTGGTGGGGGTTATATTTTGTGTTGAGGTTTTGCGTGCTGCCGTTTTCGCTGCCGTCGGACTGGGGTGGTGTTGAGGCGAAAAGGTCGCCGACTCCGGCGGCGGCGGCTCGCCCGCCTGCGGGGGCCGCCTTGGGGTAGGTCAGATCGGGAATTTTCTGGGCGAGGGAGTCTGGAGGTGGTGTAAGGGTGTGGCTGCGCATGAGGGCATCGAAGGGGTCGTTACTGGTGGATTGCTGCTTCTGGGAGCGGGAGCGGGAGGAGGATTGGACGTCTTGTGGTGCGACGGTGAGTTGGATGCCGGCTTTGCGGATGGCGGCTTCGAGGAATGAGGTGGCGAAGTCGGCGGAGGCGTAGATCTCGCGGAGGCGTTGCAGGATGCGCATGCATTGGTAGAAGCGTTGGAGACTAGTCATTCGTACGCCGGGGTCGCTGGATTTGATATCTAGGAGGTGAATGATCACTGCGGGAAGCAAGACAGTCACGCCCGTCGTTGGGTAGTACCGAGTGAGGTCCAGGATATGGAGATCTTGGGCGATATTGGTGATTTCCACTGCGGCGAATCGCACCTTGTTGCGAGATAGTTCTTGCAATTCGGCGTCCATTGATGGAAATGGGATGGCGGGGAGGACCTGTGGGCGATGCAGGGCGCTGGATGTGGTGAGGTAGACCATCTTCAAGAGAGCACGATGCGAGTGAAGCACCTCCTGGGCCTCGGAGAGCTTCGCGCCTCCCGACGGCGTATATTGGGTTTCCACCGGGAGATTGGCCCGCCAATTCTCCAGTTCCTGGTCGCAATGACGCACCTCGAAGCTCTCAGCAGTTGATTTCTTCGGTACCAGCATCATAGTAGTCTCCATAGTGCCGCCGAATTTGTGGCTGAGAACGGAGTACTGTGCGGAGAGCACATGGCTCACACCGAGACAAAGTTTCGCCTTCTCGATAAACATAAGTGCCAGCTCACGCTGGTAGCTCACATTCTGCAAAATCTCCGAGTCTCCCACCATCTGAACAATTTCAGGCGAGAAGGACTGGAATTCGAAGTCGTCCAGAGTCAACATGGGGACATCACAGTCGTCATCTTTCACGCGCATGGGTCGTCGCATGCCCAAGGCAATCAATCGGTCGCGAGTATACGTGCTCCACCAGATGCGTTTCCACATCCGCTGGCGCCGAAGATCCATCCGCGAGTTTCCGGGATCACGGTGGAGACCAATAGTGTGGGCCAGAGACAGACTGACGCCCATCCAATGCCAGGTGTCCTTCTGGTCATCAGGGGTTTCATACCAGTATGTCATCAAGAGAAGTGACTGCACCAGAGAGATGCGGTCGACCTCGTAGTCAAAGTCGTACAACAGCCGAGCCCGCTGGAAGAAAATTTTCCTCGCGGTTTTGCGAGTCTGGTATCCGGCTGCCTGTAGATGCTTCATATCCACAAATGCCATTCCAGCAAACATGACAGCCTGGAAAAGAAGAAGACTGATGCGGTGGATGCCATCGTTTTGCACAATGGTTTGCAGGAATTCTTCGAGATCCAGAAGAGGCATATATGTATGAACATAATGGATATATGCCTTGATCAACTCATTTCTCAGAGTCACGTCGGGGATCGAGAGAGCACCTTTGGCGGCTAGATAGTCGATATCTTCTTTTTGTAGTCGAGCGGGAAGACCTCGGATGTAGTCCGGCAAGAAGCCGCTGGCGGTGGCACGTGGGCTGCCAAAGTTGGGATCAAGCAGTTGTTGGATTTGCAGAGTAGCGTTTGCTAGAGGCATTGTCGAGGGAACAGCTGGATTGGAAGCCATGCGACGACGATAGCTATCATCGGAACCGATGCGAGTTGCCTGCGATTGATCTGCCATGCATTGTTAGCGGTAGATCGTTGTCAGCCATTGGTAGCTTTTCCAACATACAGAGCAGATGCGGCATATGCTGGCCATGCTCAGCATCGACAGAGGCCTGCGAAGGAGACGTGGGAGCCATATCAGGCATTCCCATGTCGAATCGGTGCAGTGGATTTTCCTCCGCCTCGGGGGATTCGGACGGAGCTGCATTGTCAACTTCGACACGCGACTTTCTGCACGCAAGATTCTACCGTTAGTATTTTATTCGGACAGGCAATAAAAGACCATTGTGTTTTGTAGTTTTTTTTTTTTCTGCAGCTAAGACGAACTTTCTTCGTTTGCTTTCCGTGACAACGCACTCGACTTGATCCAGTCGGCAGTTGGTACACGGAGAGCCATTTTCTACCACATCGCAGCGGACTTTGCGGGCACGACAACAGCAACAGGCTTTGGAAGCTCTGCGTTTCACAGGGCGGTTGGCGGATAGACCGGCAGCGGATGCCTTTCGTTTTCCAGACTCTTCAGTCATTGTTGCGGTGGCGCTACTCATGATGTGTGTGCGGGGGGCGAATGGAGGGACATTCGAATCGAAGAATCGAAGAAACAAGACGAAATCAGCGACAAGAAAAAAAAGGCATAAGATGCCACAAGGGCGAGAAGAGTGGAGAGGGTCAAGGAACTACAAGAAAACCGGGGGAGGCGCGCGCTGATGGGGGGCACATGCATTTTAAGTATGAGTCGCAAGACCGACTTTCAATGGGTTGTCTTTCCCCCCCCAGGTCCCACTTGACGAACTCCAGTTGGGGGCAGACCCAGCCAAATTAAACCCCCCCAAATCCAGTGGTGGTCATTCGTCCAACTGGGGCCGTCTTCCCCACACGAGAGGCATTTGCACACTCTTTGTGACTAAAACGTTAGTTCACCCACTAAACTCGTTGGGGGGTGGCAGCACTGCGTCACTGGCCTCGAATTAGGGTTAGCCTGGTTATCGGCCCGGTCACGTTATGCCATTCATAGAGCATAGAATTCATAGAGCATGAATGGAGGCCCGAATATTATTATATTCTATATGTACCATGGTGTAGACTAATTCACTCTATTCTCATCTTTTTTTTTTTTCAAATTATCCTAGTATATGATGTACAGTATTTGTAGTTCTTGCAAAACAAGAAATCCCCTGAGTCTGAATTTTCTGAAGTGGATCCCCCCCGTCAAGGAAATGCGACCGGATCCGGTACGGTATTATATTACATACCGTACCGATGGTGGCTACTGTCGGCTATATGGAACAGACAACGAAGCTAGTTCAATGATAATCCTATTATGGTGAAACTGTTGGGATTCTCCTTTTATCTTCTTGTATTCAATCTTCATAATAACATCCAGCCTTCAAAATTCACACAAAGGAGAAAGAAATTCAT